CACTTCGAAAAATGAAAAGTTCAAGCAGTCGGATACAAGTGAAGAACTTCAATTTTTAATATAAAACTAAACCATGTCAACTCTATGAGAAATGGGCAGTGAAGGATTTATTTTGACAACATTTTACAGCCAAGGCACAATACTTGTACAGTTCTAATGATTTATTTTTTTTTTTGTCCTGGCATTTTGATAAAACAAAGAGATATTTAATATCTTCGCCTATGTGCCCTTTCTTTCTACAGCAGAAGGAAGTTTTTATTTCATGTATATATTTTCTGTTTAACCTTGCTCTCTTACAAATCTTTTTTGCAATCTGCTAGTTGAAGCAGCTGGGGGATTTTGGGCTTATAATAAACAATTAGATGGTTTTTGTGCAATTGCATAACTTCTTCTTGCAGTCTATTAAACAAACTACACAGAAGGCCTGATTAATTGAGTTTGAACAGTGGTAGACTGCAGTGAAGTGGTCCTGTGTTTACATGACACCCAGTTATGGAGAAGAAAAGCTCTATTTTACCCACATGCACATTGCTGAAAGTTTTGCATCAGTGGAGGGGCAGTTAGGTTAGGTCGGGCAAAGGGGGAAAAAAAAGGATTACCCTTTAAAACAAGACCCCCATTCACCACTGTAGCTATATGCATTGTGGAAAAAACGATCTTCAAAAGTTCACAACAGAAGGATTGAAAGCTTAGCTCTTTTCCTTCTTTCTATTGCAGTGGAATCTTACCAGCCTGCCAGCCCTCTAATGTAAATGCACAGGAGATGTTTCTAAGCTTTAAGTCTCATTTACATATTTGTACTTAAAGTAGAACTAAATGAATTGTTTCCATTTTTTTTTTTTTTTTTTAAGAAAGGCAGGGTTATGAGCCTTGCCTGTTTTTGTTTTGCCATTTGTGTACCATTGGGAAATTTCACTTCCTGTCTTAGACAAAACAGGAAGTGAGAACAAATCCCTCCAAAGTGAGGAAATTCCTGGTTGGCACCTGACTTAGGTTTCCCATTCTTTTATGGCCTGGGGACAGCCCACAGTTCGGAGTGTTCTTTAACTTTCAATGATAATGGTAAACAGGACAAATAGAGTGGGGGAAATATTTCTAACAGGGACACAGACAGCAATGAAATTGTGACTGGTGTTCTATTCCCTCTCCAGTCTATCCAATTTGCCTTCAGTTATATTGTGTTTTGCAGTCCAGTTCTTGTCAACTGGGATGTAGCGGCTGCTCAGACACAGCCACTGCTCCAGATTTGCACCCATGTGGGTAGTGATGCCTGAACTCATACTGTCTGCATTCAGGGACTGGCACCCACATCAATATCAAATTGGAAGCAACGATTGTGCCTGTGCAGCCGCTGCGCCCCAGTTGACATGAATGGGACTGCAAAACATGGCCTTTACACAGGTGTACATTTAAAGTATAACTCAAGGCAAAAGTGTGGGAGTGACATCATCCCCATCCGGCCAATGATAGCAGTTGGCGTTCAGGACACGGAAGCCAGTTTCCACATGGGGACTTCCAGGACAGAGCATCGATGGATCAGAGACTAGTATAGTTCCACTTTAAAATACTTGTAAATATTTTCATGTCCTCAGTCTAGCACAGGTATGGCTGTGTCATACAGGTTTGATTGTGTGATAATTTCACCCCTACCTGACCGGCAACTGAGACCCGGATCCCGGCTGCCCAAACATGTCAGCGGCCAGTTCCAAAACGTTGCATTGCTGGATCCAAAGTGAGTATAGTTCCACTTTAAAGTGTATTTCAGCTTTTGCAGTCAAACTTGAAAATCCCCTACAATATGTTTGTTATGTTTTCCCAATCATCCAGCATACTTAAAAATTATTTTAACCACTTGCCCTCCAGAGAATTTACCCCCTTCCTGACCAGGCTATTTTTTTCAATACGGCACTGGGTTACTTTAACTGCCAATTGTGTGGTCATGCAACTTTCTTTTGGTGGTATTTATTCACCACTGGGATTTTTTTTATACAAAAATGGAAAAAAAAAAGTGGAAAAAAAAAAAAACAAAACATATTTTTCTTATAAAATTTTTCAAAAAATCTTTCTTCATAAATCTTGGCCAAAATGTATTTGGCTAACTTTTTGGTAAAAAAAAAGAGAAACCCAAACCAGTTTATAAAAACATCAAAATGTAAAATCATTTTATTTAAATTATATTTGTTTTTTTTTTCCCCTAGCAGTAGTAGTGTCACCATAGTGACACTGTACTACTTGTGAGGTTGTGATCTAGATTTTTTTTTTATACAGATTGCTTTTACACCCATTAAGGCTGTAAAAGCAATTTTCTCCTTCTCTCTGGCTGCATTCCTGTAGCCACTGAGAAATAATGAGAAGTGTAATTGGTCACAGCTCATCACATGGTACAAGGCTGTTGTGAATGGAATCTGTGATCATTCACAGAATTAGCAAGTAGTAAATAATGATGTCAGGAAGTGACATCTTGTTTACTGATGTCAGGAAGTGACATCTTGTTTACTACTGTTCATGTGATCACCGATTGGCCAATTAGTGATCACATGAATTGGGACATCACACAGCGGACCCGTACAGCGATCGGTGTTCTGCTGTGTTTGGCGGACACAGATCACAGAACTGTGCGCTCCCTGGGAAGGCAATGGTTGTGGGTGGGATGTTTAGAAACATCTCTCTGCATTGGCAATGCTCCCATCTGGCCGTTTATCGGCATGGGCCGGACGTGACAAGGGTAAACATTAGATCAAACTTAGGGTGTACATTTTCTGGTAAAAAAAAAAAAAAAACAACACACCTTTGAGGAAAACACATGGTGCCTAGGATTCCAAAAACTAAAGATTCGGTGTCCAGAGATTTGTGTTTGCTTTTTATCCCCAGGTCAATGTTAATGCAAAAGCTACTGGAAGCAAACCGGAAATAATGTACACAGGCTTCATATTTACAGGCAAGTAAAACGCAGCCTCTTCATGGGAAATGTGTTACATTTGATTTGCAATGGAGATGGTTTTGTAGTCATTAACATTGACTTCACAAGTTCAATTGCAGGAGAATAGGGCATGCTCCCGAAACACAAAGCAAATGCAGTAACACAGAAAAAAAAAAAAAAGTAAAGCACAAATCTCATAAGTCTAAGTGCACTAATCTTGAATATGCTCAATATGTGTATTTGGCCATATGCTTTGAGTTCAGCTTTAATCAGATGAGGGAGAACTCAGAAATGTAATTACAGTGTATAAAAGTGTCCAGGTCATTTTTAGCCAGACAGAAGTTTCCACAATGAAGGTTTTCCAATCTTGCATTCATAGCTGGTCAGGTGTTTTGGTAATGTTTGAGGTGCAATAACTGTGGGCAGTCAATCATTTTTTGTAGCCATTCATGCATCGGGAAATTAAACTGAGAATACCATGTGAATCTTTACTCATATCACACCTATTGCACCTTATATAACACATCATAACAGACTTTTACTAAAATGCAAAAATTGTGATTCACAAAACAATTGGGTGCTTTATTATTTCAGCCACTTGCAGGATGCAAACCAATCACCTTTACAATACAGGAATTTAGATGCATTAAAGTACCAGCATGATATTTTTAAACCATATATTCTTTTCAGTTTTATGTCTTTTGTTCTAACAAAAAGAAAAAAAAAGTTAAAAAATATTACCTTAAAAAATGCAGTGCACAACATTTCTAAATCTGCCTTCACTTTTATAAGCAGATTCATTAACAATGTGCAAATAACACAGCTATTTCGACTCTGGCATTTCATTTTAATTGAAGTCAAGTGGGTCCATTGAGGGCACAAAGTACCTTCTGTGCTGTAAACATCGAGCAATTTTCACAAAATGGGAAGCTCAACAGCAGGTTGGGAGGAATAGACTGGGGGATACGGACAAGAGGGGAAAAAGCAAGGAGGATGAAAAACAATACACAGAAAATGTGCACGCCCTGTGTATATGAGTACGTATGTATACACAAACGTACATACATACACACACAAACGTACATACATACACACACACACACACACGACTGGACAAGTCCACTTATCCGTGAATTATCACAACTAAGTGAACCAATAAAAAAATAATAATGCTGCCCTATATAAAGAAGAATATGTGGCCTGTTTTCTTTTCCACTCTTGTCTGGTAAGTATATATTAGTGTATACATTTCAATGAACGCGCTAAAGTAAAATGAGCATTTTGGCGCATAGGTGTTGCAGACCCTTAGGGAGTAATCATACATAATGGTCACATTGAATGTGCCAAAAACAGCTTTTGGGAATCACTTCAACAGGAATACAGACTGAATACATGCAGTAAAATGTCCATCTTCAGCTTGGTATATATTAAATTGTGTGAACATAACCAGTAGTCTGACAATATAGCTTTCTTGACACAACACAAACAGAAGGGGACTGCATTAATACATTGGATAATGTGCTCTAAAAAGGTAAGGCTAAAACCTTGATTTCTCACAGCAACATTGAATAACAGCATATTGTTTTCATTTCATATGGACTTAATTACCCTGAAGAAAGCAGCAATTACTTCTCTCTGAATATGCTTCATAAGATATTATATACTACAACACCATCTCCCCACCAAAGTCTTCATTCAGTAGGATACTTCTGGGAAGCAAAAAAGACAAATTCTGTTCATCTTATCTGTCTTCAGCTTCATAAATCCAAACAATTGGTCTGCAAAACGGTGACTCCCATTCACCTCTCTGCTAGATCTCGTCTTCTGGAGAAGAAACCAAATGACCAGCATTTTGAGACCTCCATCATTTCCACACAAAATGCAGAGAGGTGATCTGGTAGATCACTAACAGGGCTGTCCTGCAAATAATGAGTCTTGCTTGCGAACAAAGCATTTCCAACTGCAGCACTGGAGTTGGGCTCAGCTTGCTGATACACTGAAGTAAGGTCCCTACGTTCCCTTGCATGCTAGATAGTATCTGTATAAAACCTCAAGCAAAGTGAAGCAGCTGGCAGCAGATTCAGGTGAACCGAGGCATCTCGCACTGCTCGCAACGGTTTAGTGCTGGGTGATTGAGAAAAGTACAGCTATTGCAATTCCATGGAGACCCTTCAAAATCTTCATCTCTTGCTTGTCTCTGGTTGGGTCTGTGCCGATGAGCTGGAAAATAGGCACATTTTCAATTAGTTTTCAATGAATTCAACATTCACAGAAACTTCTCAATATCATTACACAGTTTTCAAAGGGAAGATAGCAGAATTTGCAGCTACAGTCAGTGGCTTAGTTTTCTAAAGGTGGAAGCTGCAGGCCTCTTATCCTTCTTCTGTCTTCTCTATCTAATGTTCGCTGCCTGGAGAAAGCTTGCAGGGTGGGAGTTGAGATGTATTTTTACTTCTACAGCCAAATTGGTACAACACCTACTTTATATTTGTTACATCTTCTGAATCACATAGCAGAACTAAAAAAAACTAGTTAACAATTGCTGCTTACTTATTTAATTGTGTACAGTTTATTTATCTTTTTGCTTCTATTTAATGTTAAGGAAAGGATTGTGGAGGCAGGTTTACCGCAATTATCCCTGTCTGTACTGTGCTGATGCATGTTTTCTTTTTATTTCTATAGTCGAGATATGAGTAACAAACCAAGGTATAACAATGAGCTCATGCTCGGGAACAGAACATACAGGAGCTCTAAGGCAGAATAAAAATTGGGCAAAGAATAAATTACTTCTCCTGGGGTTTGAGCAAAAAGAAATGGACAAGCTTGTTTCTTATATTTCTATTCAGATACAGTGGGTATATAAAAAAGCATCACCCCCCCCCCCTTTAAAATAATCACATTTTGTTGCTTTGCAGTCAGAAATGAAGACAGACACAGTTTTTGTTTTATCCAGCTCTATTTACTCAGGACAACTTATAACATCCAAGTGAAAGGTATAACACCAATATGTCAGAAAAAAAAACAAAACAAAAACAGAATCGCTGAGTTGGAAAAAGGATCACCCCCTTGTGTCAGTATTTTGTTGAACACCCTTTTGCTTTAATTACAGACTTTAGTCTGTTGGGATAAGTCTCTAACTTTACACATCTAGACTTTGCAATATTTGCCCACTCTTCATAGCAGAACTGCTCAAGTTCAGTTAAATTTGATGGTGACTGCTAGTAGACTGCAGTCTTCAAATTATTCCATAGATCTTTATTGGGGTTTAAGTCTGGGATCTGACTAGGCCATGCAAGGACATTCACCTTTTTCTCCTTCAACCACTGTGTGGTCATTTTTGCTGTGTGCTTTGGGTCATTGTCATGTTGGAAGGTAAACCTTCTTCCCATTGACAACTTTCTGGCAGAGGGCAGCAGATTTTCCTGAAGAATTTGATGGTATTTTGAACCATACATTTTTCCTTCTATCCTGACAAGTGCTCCAGTCCCTGCTGCATAAGAACACCCCCATAACAGGATATTAATACCTCCATGCTTTACTGTAGGAATGGTGTTATTTGGATGGTGAGCTGTATTGGATTTCTACTAGACATAGCATTGAGTGTTGAGGCCAAATAATTACATTTTATTCTCATCTAACCATAACTTTTTCAATGTGGCCTCAATCTTCAAGGTGCGTTTTGGCAAAGCTCATTCGTGACTGCATGTGACCTTTCTTGAGGAGTGACCGTTTTTCTTGCAACCCTCCCATACAAGCCACAATTGTGGAGAATACGTGATATTGTTGTCACATGCACACAATGACCACTCTGTGTCATAAATTCCTGCAACTGCTTCAGAGTTGCTGTAGGCCTCTTGGTAGCCTCTCTGACCAGTTCCCTCCTGACTCTTTCATCCAGTTTGGAGCAATGTCCTCATCAAGGGAGGATCTGTGTTGTACCAAATACTTTCAACTTCTTAATAATAGACTTCACTGTACTTTAAGACATTGATAAAGTGATTACATTTTTTTTTTTATCACTCTGATGACTTGTACCGTGCTACCCATAGTTGATTGTTTGCTTCAGTTGCACTAACAGGGTCTGAAACAGTCCAGAAAAGCTCGTTTCATTCTGAGCCAATCAAAAGAACCACAGTTCATCACAGCTGAAAGTAAAATGGCTTTGTGTGCCATTGGGAAGGTGATTAGATACACCTGATTGAGTTTACAAGTCTTTCTTAGGAGGGGGGGGGGTTGATCCTTTTTCCAACCTAGCTGCACTGAGTAAACACAGCTGCATAAAACAAAAACTGTGTTTGTCTTCATTTCAGGCTGCAAAGCAACAAAATGTGATTGTAGACGGGGTGATTCTTTTCTATACCAACTGTAAGCTCTTGAGGATCCATGTACACTGTAGGAGAGATTTATTAGAAGCTTAAGTACTCAGAATCTGGTGCACGGTGTCCTGTGCATGGCAGCCAATCAGCTTCTAACTTCAGCTTGTTCAGTTAAGCTTTGAAGAAAAAAAAAAAAAAAACCCTAGAAACTGATTGGTTTTAGTAAATTTCCTCCTTGTATGCTGTGGTACCGTAGTGCACTTCAACATAATCTGTGTGCACAGTGTCATTTATTTTGAATGGCACCCCAATACATATACACAAATTAAGTGTGGTGCAGTAAACTTCATATGGGTTACGGTGACCTGCAGTGAGAAAAAAAAATGCCAGCACAACCACACCATTCATTCAAAGATCTGTCTGCCGAGACTTAAAGCACTCAATGAAACACAAGTGCGGTGATTACTGCACTCATAGTCCATTGACACTTCCCCCAGCTCAGTAACTGAAAGTCCACATCTTAGTACAGACCTGAGCTGGAGAAAGAAGCTGCAGGAGTCTGTGCACTGCACCTGTGATCCACTAATTGCAGTTGAAATGTTTTGCAGGCTCATTTGCAACAAAATTGCACTTTTTTGGCTGCAAATATGGAAGCATTTTTAATTTTGCAAAAGGTTGCGCTAGCCTTTAAGCAGTCTTTAACCACTTCATGACCAGGACATTTTTTACTGTTTGGCACTGTGCTACATTAATTGGCAATTGCTTGGTCATGCAACACTGTACCCAAATTAAATTTTTATAATTTTGTTTTTACACACAAATAGAGCTTTCTTATGGTAGTATTTGATCACCACTGGACAAAAAACAAAAATATTGAAAAAAAAAAAAAAACCCCAATATGTTCTACTTTCTGTTACAAAATATATTCAATAAAGTCAAATCTCTTCATAAATTTAAGCCAGAATTTCTTTGGTAAAAAAAAAATCCCTAAGTGTGCATTAATTGGTTAGTGTGAAATGTATAGTGTCTACAAACTACAGGGAAGAGTTGTGTTCAAAATAATAGCAGTCCAGCATTACTAGCCAGACCAATCACTGTTTCTGGTATAAATTATATTTCTACATAGCAAATAATTTACAAATAGGTGTAGTAGAGCAATAGAAAACAAACAGACCCAACAGTCATGACATGCATGCTGCTGATTCTGTGTAAATGAATCATTATTGAAATGGGGAGTATTCAATATAATAGCAGTGTGAAGTTCAATTAGTGAGGTCTGTGAAAAAACAGATGTCAAACAGGTGGCCCTTATTTAAGGAAGGAAGGAAGGCAGCAAATGTACATGCTGGTTACAGTGCATTTCTCTCTGAACATCTGAGTAAAATGGGTCGTTGCAGACATTGTTCAGAAGAACAGCGTACTTTGATTAAGAAGTTGATTGGAGAGGGGAAAACATAAAGAAGTGCAGAAAACGATAGGCTGCTCAGCTAAAATGATCGCAAATGCTTAAAAATGAAAACCAAAACCAGAAAGACGTGGAAGAAAACAGAAAACTACCCTTCGAATGGATTGAAGAATAGGCAAAATGGCAAGGACTCAGCCAATGATCAGCTCCGGGGTGATCAAAGAAGGTCTAAAGTTACCTGTGAGTACTGTTACAATTAGAAGACGCCTATGTGAAGCCAAGCTATCTGCAAGAAGCCCCCGCAAAGTCCCACTGTTAAAAAAAAAAATCTACATGTGCTAAAGAGGTAATAATTTACCAAAGAGCACATTGACTGGCGCAACCATGCTTCACTGTCTTCACAGTGTACTGTGGCTTGAATTCAGTGTTTGGGGGTCGTCTGACAAATTGTCTCTGGCCACTAGACCCAAAAAGAACAATCTTACTTTCATCAGTCCACAAAATGTTGCACCATTTCTCTTTAAGCCAGTCAATGTGCTCTTTGGCAAATTGTAACCTCTTCAGCACGTCTTTTTTTTCAACAGTGGGACTTTGCGGGGGCTTCTTGCAGATAGTTTGGCTTCACATAGGAGTCTTCTAATTGTAACAGTACTCACAGGTAACTTTAGACCTTCTTTGATCTTCCTGGAGCTGATTGTTGGCTGAGTCCTTGCCATTTTGGCTATTTTTCTAACCATTCGAATGGTAGTTTTTCGCTTTCTTCCACGTCTTTCAGGTTTTGGTTGCCATTTTAAAGCATTTGCGATCATTTTAGCTGCACTTCTTTATATGTTTTCCCCTCTCCAATCAACTCTTTAATCAAGGTACGCTGTTCTTCTGAACAATGTCTGGAACAACCTATTTTCCTCAGAATTTCAGAGAGAAATACACCAGCATGTACAATAATTGTCACCTGTTTTTCAAAGAATGAATGACCTCACTAATAGAACTCCACACTGCTATTATTTTGAACATGCCCCTTTCAATTAGTGATTCAATTACACAGAATCAGCAGCATGCATGTCATGACTGTTGGGTCTGTTGGATTTCTATTACTCTACTACACCTGCTAGTAAATTATTTGCCATGAAGAACTATCATTTCTACCAAAAACATTGATTTATCAGGTTAGAGATGTCTGACTGGTATTATTTTGAACACAGCTCTCTCTCTCTATATATAAATAAAATTTGCCTGCCACGTGCTGCCCCTGTCGTAGTACATATACTGTAGAGGGGTGGCAAATGGTTAAGTGTGTGTGCGTGTGTGTGTATGTGCGTGCGTGTGTGTGTAAAAACATTGCATTTTTGCATGGAAGCTGTGGGACGGTACTCCAAACTTCCTTCCTGCATTTAAACTTTTGGGGATCCCAAGCGAGATCCAGTATCATGATCAGCTGATCAATGTGGTAATCTGGTCTTGCTGTGTCACCAGGCAATGGAAAGAACATTCTTCTCAAAAGGGACAAAGACATTTGACCAGTAAGGATCTCGTCTTGGGAGCAAAAAGTGGAAGGAAATGTGCCTCAACCTTTACTATAACAAAGTTTTGTAATGTCCATTTCTACAGGAAGTGATTACATTTGATATATGGCAAGATCTATCAAATCTCTTTGACATGCCTACATGTGGATATGAGTTTTTCAGTTTTACAATCTGGAGTTTACATTAGAATGTTTACTATTTAATTAACCTGGCACTGTGAATGAATAAAAAATATTTATTTTTATTTATTGTGATAAGTTCGCTATAGCTGAAATCTGGGCTAAACAAACATAAAAGTCTTGTGTGTTTATTCTTGAATCTGGGTCTCCTTTGCGTATTTCTACCAAATCTGTGAAGTAATCCAGCATGAAACAACTGTCGTTTGCCTCAGAAGCATCCTGCAATACAGACTAGTCAGTACTGCTCTCTAATTGTGCAAGTGTGGCTGGTTTTGTATCCACCCCCAGTAGGCAGCCTATGGGGGGGGGGGGGTCCTGCCCACAGCTTTGCAAAGCACAGTGAAACCACTCCAGTGTAGCTTTACCTGTCTGTTTAGGATGAATTTCTGTGCCAGTCTAATGTCTCCTACAGAATGAAACAGGTTTCCCTGTACTGGGTTTCATTCATTCTGGTGTGTTTTGATCAAAAGCATCCCTACAACATTATTTGCTACCTCCATTACTCACCATGCGGATGGTCTTCTCCGTGTGTGAGTGTTGGCTTTATGAACTTCCTATATACCAGCATGTTTCTTCATGTTGGAAAATAAATTGTGGGAGAAAATGAGATCAGCAAGCCGGTTTTAACCCTTTATTTTGCCATGAAGTGTGGCACCCCGTTTTGACAGCGAAAGGGTTAAAGAGATGGGCTATAGAAGCAGAATACAAAAACAGGTTCCATTTCTATCACATAAGAATGAAAAATGAGCCTCAAGTGGGAGAGGATTACCAAAACCATAAAACTGATAGATCCTCGTGTGACATCTCAACTTCTGTGACAGAGCTAGAAATGAGCAAAAACCCTCAGGATGAGGTAAACAGGATTTCCATACAAATGTGTGGCTGACAAAGGAACTACAGCTCAGGCATCACAGTAGCCTGGACCTGCAACTCTAGGTATCACATTAGCAGTCCACAGCTGGTGAAGGCAGAACACATTGTCAGCAGCAAAAGCATTTCATTTCCTGTATACATAATCATTTCTCATTTGCCCTGTTGCACTGGCATGTATTGAAACTGGTCTAGTTTTTCATTTTTACTTATAAAAAAAAAAAAAAATGCTATCTGAAAGGAAGAGCAGCAGGACACATACCAATGTCCCCAGCACCTGGGTTTGGGATGTCAGGGGGCTCAGGTTTTTTATTTGAGGTCACGCTGATTCTTCTTGCTTTCCTTTCAACTGATGAAGAATCAGATGAATCTGATCAAAAAAATACAAAAAGACAAGTTACACCTAAAGACAGTTCAATAATAATATGTTTGTAGTCATTTTCAAAAATTTAGAAACAGTATATTTTATGCCTGTTTCTGGAACTGGAAGTTTTTTTAAATTATAATTAAAGGCATTTTTTTTTTTATTCTGAATAACGTTAAGAGTGATTAGAACACTTGTAAGGTTTTAATTGCTGTCTGTGTCCCTGTTGGGAAGATTTATTTTCTCTTTGTCCTGATGACCTTTAAAATGTTACACTCATATTCAGGGTGTAACATTCAACATGTTATGAAAAGACCAGTCCCCGTTCTGCTGCTTTGACAGCTAGTGGGGAATCTCCTCCTTGCCAACGGTAAAAATTAAAAAAAACAAAAATGCGGCTGTGCAGGGCTCTGCCCGCCCCAGCCACATCACTCATTCACAATGCTCTGTGAATGAATGAACTACAAGTCCCAACAACCTTAGTGGCTGTCGGCTTGTAGTTCACAATGAGCTACCATGGCGTTCTGGAACTCTATGGTAGTACATTGATTCTTCTTGTCAGCATATCTGCTTGCCCGTATATCACTGATGCAATGGTTTACAGGCTGCTGCAACAAAAACTAATAAATGCATGTTTTTATAACCTGTAAAAAAAGAGAGCATATATTGTTTTTTTAGCAAAAGGTGAACTTATCCTTTAACACTAAAAGTAAGGAAAAAAACCCACCAAATTGTGGTCACCAGAAGAGGAATAGAAGGGAAATCTTCCTATGGGGACACCATTTCTGGTGACTGTGGCGACTACCAGTGATTTCCCTCAATTTGCAGAAATTTCATCTCAGCTGTGACTATAGGCAGTGAAGGGAAATCTTTCCAATGGGACACAGATCAAAACAATACATTTAGTTCTACTTTAAAATCTAACATTCACATAGTATAAATATTTCATTAGGACTATGCACACATCAGTTTTCTTTCCCATCATCTATTTTATGTGCCTTTTTTTTTCCCCCATAAAATACATAAAACAAAAAAAGGTGTCTATTAGCAGTGGAAGCAATGTACGCCTTTTATGTGTGAACCTAGGCTAACTAGAGTTTTGACACAAATCAACAAAAGAAACAAGGCGGCAGATGACCCTCTTATTATCTTGCAGGTAACAGAAGAGGCAAATCAAGTATTTTAAAAAGTTCTTACTTACAGATTTTTTTTTTCTTCCATAACAGATGTTTTTTATTACCTTGCAGTATGCCACTGAAAGGACTAGAAAATGTGACTACTCCTGGACAACAGATCACCAGCACATCCCCCTGCTTCTTTAAACTTCCAAAAGAAGAAAGGGCTTGGACGTGTAATTACCCTGTAGACTGGTCCAGCATAACAACTCTCTACATACCCTCTAATGTACTAAGGCTGCTGGGGGAGAGGGGCCAAAGGTACTACTACAGAACGGTGGCACACAGCTGCAGACTCAAAGCTTTTGTCTTTCTACACAGAGGACGCTTTCACAGGTAAACATGCAAAAGGGTCTCTAACTTTTCTTCAAACAATATTGCATGCCAATAACAGATAGAGTTGCTCGCAGAGTTAAGGTATACAGAAAAAAAGAATCCTACTTATGCTATGATAAAGAACATCTCCCATATCAAGAAAACAGAACATTGATAACAGCATTCACCCAATTACATATTACTGGCTAAATCAAATCACCGCGATACCATTGTATACCAGTGGATATAGAAAAAACTAATCATAATCCCCCTAAAAAAAAAATAAAAAAAAAATAAATAAAAAAATCACATTTTGTTGCTTTGTAATATGAAATGAAGACAGGCAGTTTTTGTTTTATCCAGCTGTATTTACTCAGTGCAACTTATAACAGCCAAGTGAAGGATACAGAGCCTTGAAAAAGTATTCATATCCCTTGAAATATTCCACATTGTGTCATATTACAACCAAAAAACCTACATATATTTTATTGGGATTTTATGTGATGGACCAACATAAAGTGGCACATAATTGTGAAGTGGAAAGAGAATGATAAATGGTTTTAAAAAAATTTTTTACAAATAAATATCTGAAAAGTTTGGCGTGCATTTGTATTCAGCCCCCTTTACTCTGATACCCCTAACTAAAATCTAGTGGACCCAATTGCCTTCAGAAGTCACCAAATTAGTAAATATAGTCCACCTGTGTGTAGTTTAATCTCAGTATAAATACAGCTGTTCTGTGAAGCCCTCAGGTTTGTTAGAGAACATTAGTGAACAAAAAGCATCATGAAGGACAAGGAAGGCACCAGACAGGTCAGGGATAAAGATGTGGATAAGTTTAAAAGACATTTAAATTAATCATCTGAGAAATGGATTGAGTATGGCACAACTGCAAACCTACCAAGACATGGCTGTCCACCTAAACGGACAGGTCGGGCAATGAGAGCATTATTCAGAGAAGCAGACAAGAAGCCCCTGGTAACTCTGGAGGAGCTGCAGAGATCCACAGCTCAGGTGGGAGAATCTGTCCACAGGAGAACTATTAGTCGTGCACTCCAGAAATCTGGCCTTTATGGAAGAATGGCAAGAAGAAAGCCATTGTCGAAAGAAAGACATAAGAAGTCCTATTTGCAGTTTGCGAGAAGCCACGTGGGGGAAACAGCAAACATGTGGAAGAAGGTGCTCTGGTAAGATGAGACCAAAATGGAACTTTTTGACCTAAAAGCAAAACGCTGTGTGTGGTGGAAAGATAACACTGCACATCACCCTGAACACACCATCCCCACCGTGAAACATGGTGGTGACAGCAGCATGTTGTGGGGATGCTTTTCTTCAGCAGGGACAGGGAAGCTGGTCAGAGTGGATGGGAAGATGGATGGAGCCAAATACAGGGCAATCTCAAAAGAAAACCTGTTAGAGTCTTCAAAACCCTTTAGACTGGGGCGGAGGTTCACCTTCCAGCAGGACAACGACCCTAAACATACAACCATAGTAACAATGGAATGGTTTAGATCAAAGCATATTCATGTGTTAGAACGGCCCAGTCAAAGTCCAGACCTAAATCTAAATAAGAATCTGTGGCAAGACTTGAAAATTGCTGTTCACAGACATTCCATCCAATCTCACAGAACTTGAGCTATTTTGCAAAGAAGAATGGGCAAAAATGTCACTCTAGATGTACAAAGCTGGTAGACATATCCATATAGACTTGCAGCTCTAATTGCAGCTAAAGGTGGTTCTACAAAGTATTCCCTCAGGGGGGCTGAATACAAATGCATGACACACTTTTCACATATTAATTTGTAAAAAATTTGGAAAACCATTTCTCATTTTCCTTCCACTTCACAATTATGTGCCACTTTGTGTTGGTCTATTACATAAAATCCCAATAAAATACATTTATGTTTTTGATTGTAACATGACAAACTGTGGAAAATTTCAAGGGGTATGATTACTTTTTCAAGGCACTGTATAACACGAACATTGAGGGGGAAAAAAAACAAATAAAAGTCAAAAACAGAATCACTGAGTTGAAAAAAGGATCACTCCCTTGTGCCAGTATTTTGTGGAACCCTCTTTTGCTTTAATTACAGCCTTTAGTCTGTTGGGATATGTCTCTATGTCGTACTAACTTTGCACATCTAGACTTTACAATATTTGCCCACTCTTCTTTGCAGAACTGTTCACGTTCAGTTAAATGTGATGGTTACCATATGTGGACTGCAGTCTTCAAGTCATTCCACAGATTTTCAATGGGATTTAAGTCTGGCCTCTGACTAGGCCATGCAAGGACATTCACCTTTGTCTCCTTCAACCACTGAGTGGTCATTCTTGCTGCGTGCTTTGGGTCATTGCCATGTTGGAAGGTAAATCTTCCCATTGACAACTTTCTGCAGATGGCAACAGATTTTCTTCAAGAATTTGATGGTATTTTGCCTCATACATTTTTCCTTCTATCCTTACAAGTGCTCCAGTCCCTGCTGCAGAGAACCCCCCCCCCCCCTCTCATAACAGGATATTACCACCTCCATGCTTTATTGTAGGAATGGTGTAATTTGGATGGTGAGCTGTACTGGATTTCTGCCAGACATATCGTTTAGTGTTGAGGCCAGATAATTCCGTTTTAGTCTCACCTGACCAGAACACCTCTTCCATGTGGCCTCAGAATCTTCAAGGTGTGTTTTGTGTGGCTGCATGTGGCCTTTCTTGAGGAGTGGCTTTTTTTCTTGCAACCCTCCCATACAAGCAACATTTGTGGAGAATTTGTGATATCGTTGTCACATTCACACAATGACAACTCTGTCAAATTCCCACAACTGCTTCAGAGTTGTTGTAGGCCTCTCAGTAGCTTCTCTGACCAGTTTCCTCCTGGCTATATCATCCAGTTTGGCATGACATCCTGATCCAGGGAGGGTCTGTGTTGTACCAAATACCTTCCACTTCTTAATAATAGACTTAACTGTGCTTCTATGAATTGATAATGCATTTGAATTCTCTTTTTGTATCCATCTCCTGACTTGTGTCTGTCCATAACTTTATCCTGGCGATCTTTTGACAGTGCCTTGCCATCCATAGTTGATTGTTTGCACTATCAGGGACACAAATACTCTAGGAAAGCTCTTTTCATACTGAGCTATCACAGTTGAAAGTCAAATAGCTTTGTGTGCCAATGAAAAAGGAGTGATTAGCTACACCTGATTGAGTCATTTTTCGGAGGGGGTGGGATCCTTTTTCCAACTCCATGATTCTGTTTTTGATTTTTTTAAAAAAAAATTTCTAGCACGTTGGCGTTAAATCTTTCCCTTGGATGTTACAAGTTGCACTACGTAAATACAGTTGGATAAAACAAAGTTGTGTCTGTCTTCATTTAAGGCTGCAAAGCAAGAAAATATGAATATTTTAAAGGGGGTGATTCTTTTCTATACCCACTTTATACGACCTCGTAATGAGGTGTTTATACTGGGATCATGGTTCAGGCTACAATCATGATCCTGGTAAAATATTTTATTATGGCAATTCCCTTCAATGTAAACGTAATCCTAGCAGCTACACGCTCGCTGGATTACTTTTACAGGCGGCAGAAGGGTGTCCCTACCCCTTCCCGACAGTTTATACAGGGCTCTCTTGTCCCATCGGGGAGCCAGGTAAAGATGCAACTCGTGACATTGGCTTCCCCATACACAGTGAGGAATTGATGTTGTTCCTTCCATTGTGTGATATCAGAAACCAGAAGCGACTAGGCTTTGGTCACTTTCGGTTTGTTTGTTTACAAGTCGTTGCTGGCTTGTGAAGCAGAAGATCCAACCGAGCTCTGTTTAATCTGCTGCTTTGGGGGCCAGAGGATTCACAGACCCCAGATCCCTCCATGAGGACCTGTCACAGCCCATGCTATCACAGGGGATGTTGTTCATCCCTTGTGATTGCAATAAGGTACAGTTTAACTACTTTACAGTTGCCCTAAAGCAGAAGTACTGCTACAGGGCAACAGGGCTGCGCAAAATCATGTGTATATATACACACATGATTTGCATGATCTTCAGGTAGGGGGCACATGCCGTCCTATCTGCGCTGCTATATTCGGCTAGGGATGTCAATCATTGGGTCCCGGACGTCGTTTTGTATCTATCTGCACTGCACAGCAGAGAGATACAGAACAGCATATCTCCTTGGTAAAACACAGCACACACAGTAACCCTTTGATCGCCCCAGATGATAATCCCTTCCTGACCAGTGTCATTAGTATAGTGTCAGTGCTTTTCATTAGCACTGATCACTAGATTAATGTCACTGGAAAGGTCAGTGGCAGTTAGTTCCCACAGTGTGTCAGAATGCCCGCTGCAGTCCCGCTATAAGTCGCTGATTGCCGCCATTACTAGTATAAAAAAAATAAAAATTCCAGTATATACACCGCCATTCGTACGTGCTACAACTTTCACGTAAACCAATTAATATACACATACTGGGATTTTTCTTAGCAAAGACATGTAGCAAAATACATTTTGGCCTCCCCCTCCCACACACACAAAGGCGAACGTTTTATTCGCACACACTTACGTAATTGGTGATTACGCCACACGTGAAGTATTGCCATGAACATCAGAGCAAGTGCAACAATTCTAGGACAAGATCTCCTGTGTGACTCTAATCTGGTAACCTGCAAAGGCTTCTAAAGTGTTGCCTATGGATAATTTAATGTGCCGCAGTTTGCTGCTGTTCCACGTGACAGGTTAGGTACCTATTTACTCAGCTTAACATCATCTTTTATATTTACAAAAACCAAAGAAAAAGTTTTTGATTCGGTTTGTGTTCACTAAAATCGATTAAAGTATTTCTTCCAAAAAATTTTGCATTTGAAAAACTGCTACGCAAATACCATGTGCCATAAAAAAAAGCAACACCCACCATTTTATTCTCTAGGGCCTCTGTTTAAAAAAAAAATAAACAATGTTTCAGGGTTCAAAGTAATTTTTCCAGCAAATAAATGTAGATTTTTACATGTAAGACAAATGTCAGAATTGGCTCGGTAGGCAAGTGGTTAAGTGTACCACTTTTTTTTTTCTTAATATAGAATAAGGAGCAAGATGAAACCCAGACAGAGCTCCTTGGTCTGGTGAAATATGTATTTATAAAAGTTTAAAATTGTACTCACAACAGGGCGTTCACTGTGGTAGGGGCATGGCCCGGAAACGCATCAGACTTACCAAACATTGATTACATTGGTGAAGTCTTCAGCTGCTGTTTGTCCTTTGGAAGCTTCTCTAGATACAATTATAGTACGGAATAATTAGAACCCCTGCCATGTTTTTGTTGCTCTGTGAACCTGCGAGAGATTTACTTGCTTCACTTTGACTTGTTGCCAGAACTGAAATAGAGGGTAAGTTTTCCAATGAGGACTCTTACACAAGTCACAATTGTCGAGTCTCTCACTTTTTGGATATTTCCTCACTCCTTGTTACTAATGCAGGCCATATACGGCTCGAACATCGGCTGACTTTTCGAAAAAAAAAAAAAAAAAGAAAAAAAAAGAAAAATGGTCGTTCGTTCGGCCGACGTTACCACCAACGATAAAAAAAATCGGCCGACTAAATCATAAAATTCACCCCATAACTTCTGTCCCTTGCAGGTCACAGCTCATGCGTGGATTTTTTTATCGGTAAAACAATCGGGCCGATTTGCTGGGAAAATCGGACAATTGTCAAAATCGGCCGCAAATTTTCCAACAAGACCGATAAAAAAAAACCTGTAAAAAAAAAAAACGAAAAAAAACGGCCGACCAATTTTTTTTCGCCCAAAAAAAAAATCGGCCTATTTTCAAACCGTCTATGGCCGGCATAAGGCTAGGGTCATACTTGTGCGAGGGGCTACAGCTGAGGGACTGCACCTGTTACCGCAGCCGCGACCACCTGCACATAACGTGCTTCCGCTCAGGAGATGCGTGGGCGAACCATTAATCCTAATGGACCCCTCCAAAAACTGGAAACCACAGTGCAGTTTCCCTGCACTGGGAACTGCACTGCACAGTTTCCCTGCGCTCCCATTTTCTGAAAAGGCGTGGGGACCTTCCCCTGCGTTTTCAGCGGATGCAGCAGCCTATTCAAATGAATTGGCTGCTGTGCACGAGCAATGCAGCTGCATGGACACTGAGTGTGAACCTATCCTTAGACAGGAAATGAAGGAAAATCTTCCACAGACAACTAAAAACTTAACAGAGGTTTTTAACCACAGAGTCTAGATATACCAAAACTGTGATCAAGAAATGTAACACATGCATTTCATTCACATAAAGGCAAAGACAGCAGTAGAACTAAAGCAGCAGGCCACTTACCTTTTTTACAAGTGTTGGGGGGCACAGCAGGACCAGGAGCTATGTTGTCATAGAAGTTGCTCAAATCAAGCTTCCCCACTCCTATAAAACAAATCTGTTAATTACAAGTCTGCATGTGGTAAATTTACCTCAACACCCAAAATAGAAAGCAGAAACAGGAAAAAAAATAGATTAATCTTGTTTTCTGTGTTTAAAGTGGTTGTGAATCCTTAAACCCAGTGACATGACAAGCCTCAGATGTTACACAGAGATGAAAAAAAATTCTCCTACACAAGTTGCACTCATTTATCTGCAACCATCTGTCTTCTATAGCCTCCTAAAGCACACATTTTATACAGCATTTTAGATCACCAGAAGGCAAGAGATCTCATGTCACATACTGCACAGATTAGAGCAGGGAACCAAGTGTAATCTGAGACTTAAGTGGAGGGAATAGACACCACCTTCTACATAGTCTCATAGGGAAATATGCACAGCTGAGGCTGTCAATCACCTGCGGTGTGCTGGGGGTGGTGGGGTGGGGCCATCTCCCGACTGCCTGGCGTCCAAAACTGTCAGAAGAAGTGACTCCTATAGATACCAGAGGAATGAGAGAGAAGACAAAAATCACACTAGGTGCCTTGGATCAAGGCAAATACACGCTATAGAAGGATAAGCTTAGTTCATTTTTAATTTCGGAGATTTACAACCACTTTAAAAAAAATGTAAGTAGCAATAGCGTAAATGCACATCAGTGATTCCAAGGTAATGCAGGCCTTAAAATACATATATATTTTAATGCATTCAGTTTAAACAGGTAAAAACATTTTTTAATTTTGTAGTGAATATTTTACTGTATTTACCATATAGTTTTAGATTAAGTTGAAGAATAAGATCTTCACTCCTATATATTTGCCCTATTAATGCCCAAAGTAGGTTAATTACACAAGAGCACATTGGGACAGAGACTAAAAGAGGAGGTAAATCCAGAATTACCCAAAACTAATATACTGCTATGCTGTAAATATGTCAAAATACACTATAGTATAATAGTTTGTAGCTCCTTAAAAGTACAACTAGTCTTTTATTTTTACCTAATGCATTCTTTGCATTACAGTAAAAAACACATCACTACTTGTCCTATCACCCCCCCCACACACACACACACACACACACACACACACTTCCCTGTCCCTAAAAACCTACCGGGCCCATGTCATGGGGGGCACTTGCTATGGGGGCTCTTGTTCTTGAGCCCCATTCGGTTTGTCCATTCACACACAAATCGTGACTTGGCCCTGCTACCCACCTCTCCTCAATGGATCTGATTGACAGCTGCTGTCTCTGAGCCAATGAGGAGGGAGAGAGCGAGGTAAGCCGCTGCTCTCATGCACATCGCTGGATTGAGAACAGGCTCAGGTAAGTATAAGGGGGCTGGGGGGTAGAGCAGACCAAAGAAGGCTTTTTACCTTTAAAAAGGTAAAGAAAAAAAAAAATTCTAGCTTTACGACTTGAAGCATGGTTTAATTGTAAATACAGGCGTACCTCGGTTTACAAACGCCTCGGTTAATGTAATTTTCGGTTTATGAATGAAAATCCAATGAAAATAATGCCTCAATTTAAGAATTTTTTTTGCAATACAAACGAATTAATTGGTTTTCAATGTATTTACAATTTGTTTTTAATCATGTCCCTGTACAGTATTTATGCCTTTAAAGTGCACTTTATAAAGCGTATTGAACAGATAAGACTTCTTTTTTACCTTTTTCTGACCTCCAGAATGGATTAATTGGTTTTCAATGCATTCCTATGGGAAACCGAGTTTCGGTTTACGAATTTTTCGCAATGCAAAAAGTCCTGCAGAACGCATTAAATTCATAAACTGCAGTACACCTGTAACTAACTTTCAGCATAAAAATATCCTTCTTCCTGAGTTACCCTTAGTGACATTGAAAACACTTACTGACAGTTGACAGCACTGAAATCTAGGCCCAAGCTTCATATTGCTGTGTTAAATGATATGCCTTTCTTAAGACAACATGTTCCGCTGCAATGACAGCTTTTTAAGGAACAGTCTTAGCTTGTGCATGTTTCACATTTTAAAATCCAGCATTAAGTGAAAACATTCATCACCAAGCCAAGAAAATGCAAGCAAGTGGACAATTTATTATCACATGAATTGCAGACTTTTCACTGAAGGGCTTTTGAGACCATTACCTGCTGTGCACCAAATACAGACTGAGTGTTTAATGTAGGATGTTAAAAGATTTAATGCGAAGCCAGTTAATCTTAATGAATACTTAAGATTAGGATTTTGCAGTTCACTTGCAAATTAATTTCCTCTGACTCGAGTTAATAAAAAAAACGTTTTCTAATCATTCACTAAGCTGTGCACAATTTCGGGCAATTCAGATTACATTTCTATACACCAGGACTGTTCAGATGTGTCAGAAATGCAGACTCAGATTAATGTAATGCTAGAGCCAAGTGCAAAGAGATGGCAAACATTGGATTCATTAAATAATGAAAATACATTTGCTGTGCAGCTTAAAAGGCTGCAAGCTAAAACTAGATACAGGAAACTCTGTGAAAGTGGATGTACTCTAAACGTTTTAGAGAGAAAACATTTGAGTGTTAAAGATAAAATATGCAGACTATAAAAGGTCTAACCACACTGGTGTTAATATTTATATTCAGATCAGATGGAAAAAATGACTGTTGGAAACTAGCTGCTATGTGCTACAGCACCATTTTGTTAGTTTTGAGGAATGCCCACCACTGACACTTCAGTAATTTATTAACGACATCACCAAAACATTTGAAATAGTAAGAATACGCTGATCTGTTGACATTTCTGTATTCACATCTCAAAACTTTTTTTTTTTTTTTTATATTATTCTATGCAGTGCTGTATCACTGAATAAAATTATTTCAAAAGCCAATTAAACATTTAAATCAGATTAGTTCATATAGCCTCACACTGTAAAGATAGCCTTGATTCTATTATTGACAAAGGTAGAATGACCAGTATCTAAACGTATTAATGTAGAAACAGTTTATTCATTTACATAATTAAATGTTAAACTGAAGAGTTTAGAATAATAAAAAAAAAAAAAAAAAAAAAGTTTTGATATGTGAATACAGAAATGTCAACAGATCAGCATATTCTTACTATTTCAAACGTTAAACTGTTGCAAACTTTTTTTTTTCTTTTTTAGAAATTCTGTATATTTTTAGACCAAAATGTTGCCTAGCTGCAAATATAATATTATTACTGACTACAATTACTGCAAATTCTTCTTTTTTACCAAACTTTGAGATGAAAGGCAAAAATGCATTGTGCACATCAAAATAACAACCAAGATGTGTGCTTGCTGTTAATTCTGAAATAAAAAATATATTTAGGCTTCTGCCCACCCTACAAATAAAAATCAAAATGCCAACAACCTCCTACAAAGTCATCTACAACTCTGTCCCAAGCTACATTACCTAACTTGTTTCAAAATACAAACAAAACAGTTCTCTGCTTGTCTCTCAAAGACCTCCTGCTCTCTAGTTCCCTTGTTACCTCCTCCCATGCTCGCCTCTAGGACTTCTCCTGAGCCTCTTCCATTCTCTGGAGCTCCATACCTCGATCTGTCCTACTATTTCCTACTCGGTCCGCCTTTAGGCGATCCCTGAAAACCAATCACCTAATGCCTAATACACACAACCAGAAGACCTGGACAAAAAAAAAAAATTGCTTTCGGAGGGATCAGCCAATAATCGGATGGTTGGTACACAGCTTTCGAGAGCCGATCATGACAGTTCATGGGACAATATCCAAAGGGACAAGCACAATTTTTCTTGTACGATACCAGAACGGATGATTTTCATTTAATCAGTGCATTATTTGTCCAAAAGAAAAGTGACCAAAACCGTGCATGCTCGGAAATGAAAGAATACATTGCAATACAATATATTACATCACTTCAGAAGTTGTATTCCGTTCGCAAGAATATTTTCGTAACTTTTGTGACCTCTTCATTTTCGATAACAGACTAGCATGCAAAAACAACTGTCAGGGTTCTGTCCATGGCAGAAGTTCTGCCATTTCTGCCAGTACCCTGCATGGCCGTAGAAGCACACATCCGTCTCAGTTTGGTGCCAGATGGCCTTTATAAAGGAGGCTCATCACTTCCTCAAGTTGCTGGATGATCTTTAGCTCAACGTGGCTTGTTCCCGTTTCCAGTGATTGTGACCTGTGATTTCCGGATACTGGCTTCGCTTGCTCCTGGACCTGTCTACTCTGCTTTACCCCTGCTCTAACCTCGGCTTGGCTTACGGATACTCTCTCGCTCCTCTGTGTATGACCTCGGCTATCCCATTCGACTATGTCTGCTCTGATTCCCACGTGGTACCTGACCTTGGCTTGAACCGACTACCCAGTAAACATCTAAATACTAGCAGGGCTGGCATACCAAGCACAGGCGCCTCCTGTCTGCAGACCTATCTCTGTGCACCAGCTGTGCGCCTGAGCTGTGCTTCACCAACCAGCACTCCCACAGGTGCCCTGTGCAACTTTGGGCCTGACTCCTGCTGTCCCCACTCTCAGGGGAGTCTGGAACTTAGCCGCAAGGGAAGTCCACTCTCCATTGGCCTCCATCACCAGGTACGTGATAAAAACAAAAACAAATGATCATTCGTCCGATATTCTCATTATGTGTATGTATGTATGAGGCTTTAGGTAGGCCTATCCTGCCTTTAACGAATATACTGTACTTCTACTTTCTCCATCATCCCTAACAGTTATCACCTTTTTTATCCTTGACCCTTACTTTAAGATTATAAGCTCCAAGGAGCAGGGTCTTATGATCCCCATTGTAGAGAATTGTATTGTAATTGTACTTTCTCCCTCAATTTTGTAACATGCTGTGCAAACTGTTGGTGCTATATAAAAACATGATTTGGTCATTTCTTCTTGATAATCCTGAGAATCCCTGATTGTTATGCTCACTTCTCCACTGCATTTATGGAGGCAGACATGCTTGACACCCAGATTTCAAACATATCTTCCTCTTTATTACATGGGGGTTGGGAATTAATAATTTACACAAGATAAGAACATTTGTGTTTTCTTTTCAACTCACGGGAAGTGGTAAGCACACTGTATTTCTGGCAAGATCAACAGGTATTTTCTATACTTGCTGAAAATGTTCTTAAACTAAAAAAATAAAATAAATGCAGCCACCAAATCTAAGGACTGGTAAGCTGCTCTGTACTACATTTTTGTTTCTGGATTTAGATATACTTTAACCTATGTATCATCCCTCAAGATCCATTCTAGGTTATCTGCAATCCCTTGGAAAAAAAAAATCAGACACCCTGATAAAAGGATGATGATTTTCCATTGGGTTTCCTTAGAAGCACATGTAAATAAGCAGTTACGACTTATGGGCAAATCATGGTATAGTTAAAAACACACGCAGAGACCTTCACAACGTCAAGTTTAACATCTTGTTATTACTTTGTCGCATATAAAATTATCATGCAATTTCCAACATTGTTGCTATGTTACACTTATTACGCTTTGATCTTTACCCCTGGACTGCAGGTCAACTTCTTTCAGTGTACAATCTATATTTATTTGCAGTTGCCTATTCAGGCTCCTCAGTCTGGTCATCTCCTCTGGCTGAAAACATTAAACAAAAACAAGATAACATGAGTTAATAGGAAATTAAAGAAAAATCATTTAAAAAGGTAAATGTTAACACAAAGTCATCTGAATAGCATTTATGCACACAGGCACTAAACCTAAATTAACCACTTATCTACTGGGACATTAGTTTCATTTTTCGCACACGATAAAGCAGAACTACAATGCATCTGAGCCCCACAAACTAAAAACACTGATTCAATTTTTAATATTCAAAGCAAACTCCTCCATTCATTCATGTCTCCATGCTTTATTTTGCGGAGAAATCATTTTGATATAGAGCCGAACATCCCCTCATTTTGCAATTTTTTTATGGCGCATGATATTTAACAATTTAATAAAATACATATTTTCAGGAATAAATACACTAAAATGGATTTTAGTGCAAACAAAACAATACTATACCCAATTTATGGTAACGTATATAAAATAATATGTTTCAAGAAGTAAATAGATTACATGTCAAGCCTTAAAATAGTGCATGGCTGTGGAATTGCAAAAAATGATGGTACCCAAAATCCTCCATAGGCGATGTTTTAAAAGCCTTTAGAGGTCATCAGTTTAGAGTTAACCGTGAATTATGACTCTCACTACAAACATTTGCGGCGATAACCCACGTGTGGCCTAACTGATGTTTACATACACCTGCTTGTCCCACACTGCGCTTTTTATATGGAGTGTGCGCAAGTATGACAGGGGTGTTTTAATTTTAATTTTTTTTTTATTATTTGTTTATTTCATACAATTCATTATTTCTTTTTTTTTTTATTTTATTGCTATCACAGGCAGTCTAACAATTCCCCTATGTGATAGCATGAGCAGATGACAAGTCCTCTTTAAGGAGACATTGGGAGTATATTGGAGCCCCAAATGTTGGCAAACGTTAGCTCTGCTGTCCCCATTTACAACTTTTATGTCCTTTTCCATCTTTATAAGGTTCCATTACCTTGTTACACAGGATTTTGACAGTTCTTTACTGATCCCCATGGCTCCGTATCTAGCCTAGTCAGTGCTTCCATGTAAGAGCTAACAAACTCATTGACTATTTATACACTGACACTAATTTCAATTTAAAAAGTCACAGATGTGGGACATTAACCTCTAATTGGCATTTTAACTTGTGTGTGTCACCTTGTGTGTCTGTAACAAGGCCAAACATTCCAGGGTATGTAAACTTTTGATCATGGCCATTTGGGTGATTTCTGTTATTATGATTTAAAAAGGAGCCAAACAACTATTTGATAATAAATGGCTTCATATGATCATCATCCTTTAATAAAAGAGCATTTTTTTTGCCATGATCAGTCGTATTTTCAATATCAATGCCAAAATGTTCACAATTTCTGCCAGGGTATGCAAACTTTTTAGCACAATGTATGTTTAAGCTTTAGGGCACGTGCACACTGAGCTTAGAAAAAAAAAAGCCACTTTTTTGGGTGCTGAGCATTTTTTTCCCCCTTTTTTTCAGCATGTAAAAGCACCTCTATGTAAGCCTGTATCCAAGAACAGGTATATTAGAAGAGGAGAGCTTACAAGATGAAAAAGGGAGCTGGATTTTTCTCAAAGGAGCTTTGAGAACTCAAATTTCTAACAGTGTACGTGGTTTCCATTCCATAAAGTCCACTCATTCCAAAAGAAAAAGGTAAAAGCAAACAAGGTCTTTTGAACGAAATCCCCTCCTAGGCACTAACCCCCCAAACTAGGCAAGGCTTCAATTTTTCTACCAGGCCATAAACCTCAAAGGCAGTGGGTACAATCCCAGCGTCCTGTAATGTACTCCAAAATAGGATTTTACAGGTAAACTAAAAAAAACCTTTATTCTGGTGGGCCTATTGGTAGTGTTAAGTTGTCCACCCCTTAGTTTTATTAATTTTATTTTTAGACTTGTGGTATCAAACCCAAAAGCAAACATTTATTATACTCCAGTTTACCAATTCGTAGATGTTATGGTTGCATTCATTTGCTTTTTTGGGCTCTTTCTTCTATTTTCAGATGGTGATACAACCAGTAAGTCTGTTTTTACAAAAAACAACTAACAGAATGTACCAATTACAGAGATGAGATAAACCATTTAACACTAGCAGGAGCGCTTACAAAGATCAACTTTATTTATGTAAATCCCATTATCCCAAAAAGGTAAACAAACGGTTTGCTGCTACTGCTTATAAAGTGTGAGCTGGAGTTTTTATTCAATTTATTTGTTTATTTAAATCTACATCCAACATTCCCCTGCCCCCAGACTGACAATGATGCTGTCTAAAGGCGTCCCTGTGCTCCGTCATCCAGAGTAGGGGCACTCTAATACAGGAGGTGGTTACTGGCCAGAACACCAGGTGAAAATAGAGAGAAAAGAACGGATATAGCCACCACATTTAATGATTGGTAATTTGCAATATATTAAATTGTTGGTTTTGGGTTTAACATTGCTTTAATTCATAAAAGGTTACATAACCATTTCTAGATAAAATGTATCCATAGTAACTTAGAAAAAGTGGGTTTAATAAAAATAAAAGTGTTCTGGGTGCGCATGCGCGAGGTTGCCGGAACAAACATCTCCGCTTTAGGCTCCACAGCATAGGGGGATAAGAAGACTCTTGGCCCGATCCAGCACCACGTCTTCATAGCAACCTCTCCGGCACCCGCAAGGATAGTCCGGGGGGGCCACCAAACACCAGACGCTGCTGAAACATATTAAGGAGGCCCTGGCATCAGCCAAGATGGCGACCGCTCCTACACCTGACAAAGACACAGCCAAAAATAGGGCCCGGTGTTCAAATCTACATATTCGGGGCCTCCCTGAGTCTATCATGGACGTCCTTTCCACAGTCACAGCCCTGTTTCAAGAGATGGCCCTAGCTATCCCAACTGAATGTCTTGATCTAGACTGAGTCCATTGGGCTCTGGTCCCCTGCCGCCCGGACGGCCCACCATGCGATATCATCACCAAGTTCCATTATTTTCGCATGAAGGAGCAGCTCCTACAAGCAGCCTGCGCCGCTGGGTCCTTAACCAATCAGGGCAATAGCTACCAGTTATTTCAGGATCTATTCCCAGCCACGATTGCTAAGCGTAGAGCCATGAAACCCGATGTCCAGGTCCTCCAGGTATAGCCTACAGATGGTTTGTTTCTCTTTCCAATCCCGGGACTACTCCTGTAGATCTCCTAATGATCTTCTGGATACGTTGCGGCATCTCCAACTTCATCCTCCTCACGTCACTACTCCAGATGGCTCCCGTCGACGGTCGGTGTCCTGCTCTCCAAGCCAAATGTAGAGGGGTCCTTATACCCTTCCATCGCACGGCCCCTTTTACATTAAATATTATGATCAGAGACCATGAAAGTCGGTACCTTATCCTGTCGCGGATCCTCCTCGATTCAGCAGTTACCATTATAACCAATTATGCCCCCAGTCAGGGCCAGCTTCCGTTCCTCTCCCACCTACTGACTCATCGACTGCCATACACGTGGCACTTTTTTGTTTGCCGCCTCTGCCGCTGTCCTCTAGACTCTCCTTCCAGCAACTTCTGCACCGCCACTCCTTGGTTGACTCGCGGAGGGAACTTAATCCTGTGAAACACCGATATACCTTTTATTTGCACCCACACAAAATGTTTTCGTGTCTTGATCATATTCTCACATCTGTCGGTTTCTCTTCACGACTCCTCGCCTCTGATATCCTCCCTATTCCGACCATTGTGCTGTCATCACGTCCATCTCGTCCCTCGCTCCCTTGGCAGCTGATGCCTCTTGGATTCTCAATAATAACCTATTATCTCATTCCTCCCACAACCTGGACATAGCGATAGCTCTTAAGGAGCACTTGTCAACGAACTCCACTCTGGATATTTCTCCCCTCCTTTTATGGGAGGCCCACAAACCAGTGCTTAGAGGGTTCTGTATTAGCAAATCATCTTTCCTAAATAAAGAAAAACGTCAACCGCGTTCCCATCTTGAGGCAATTTATACTCACTCTGATCAGGCATTCCAAGCCACCCCATCACTCAGCAATCCTAAGACCTTGGAGCAGTCCTGTTTGGAACTAAACCTCTTTCTCACAGACATAGCGGAACTCTCTCTCCGTAGATCACGACATAAGTACTATACTAAAGCAAACAAACCTGACACGTTCCTCGCCCTCTCGCTCGTAGACTAGATCACGCCACTAAATCGATTCGCTTACGTGTGTCCCAGGGTGGTTTCACTAGCAATCCAGTACGCATATTACAAGTTTTCCACAAAAACTTGTCTCAGCTGTACTCCCCAATGGAATCCTTTGACCAGTCTCGTGCTGAAACCCTCTTGGCTCATCTTACTTTCCCGAAGCTGTCAGGCCAACAACTGGAAATCCTAGAGAAGCCAAGCACACCTGCTGAAACCCTGATTGCCATCAAGGTTCTGAAGATATCTTGACTTCATTCTACGTCATTGGGGTTTTGGGACTCATTTCTTGTCATGGATCTCCTCCTTGTACTGTGAGCCATCTGCTTGCGTTAGATATTTGGGACACAAGTTGGCCTCGTTTCCAATCCTGCAAGGCACCCGCCAAGGCTGCCCGCTCTCACCGTTGCTCTTCGCCCTAGCCATCGAACCTTTTGCCCTCTTGATCAGAGCCGACCCAGATATCTGTGGACTTGAGCTAGGAGGTTCTCACCATAAGCACTGCCTCTTTACTGACGACGTGCTCCTCTTTCTCACGTCCCCGCTGACTTCTACTCCAACCTTACTCCGACTTCTTCAGAACTTCGGCCACATATCTGGTCTTCACGCTAACCCTCAAAAGTTGATAGCACTGAAGATCTCCCTACCTCCTCAAGAACTGGCCCATCTGCAGCAGGTACTCCCGTTTACCTGGTCCCAACAATCCATTTCCTACCTAGGTGTTAAATTGACTGCTGGGCCCATCAAAACTTTATTAGGCCAAATACCTACCTATGCTAACCAATCTTACTAGGCTCATGACCAAATGGTCCCCCCTCAGGCTGGCCTGGATGGGCAGGATCACTGTAGTGAATGTCCATTCTCCCTAAAATACTATACTTATTCAGAGTCCTACCCATTCCAGTGCCAGCACATTTCCTCCGCATTTTGCAGTGACAAGCCTACGTATATATCTGGGGTTCCGCCCGCGTATACCTCTGTCAGGACGCGGGTGTTCTGTGGCATCGCGTCGGGCGGCGCATGCGCAGAACACCAGCACTTACCACCAGGGCAAGCGATAGGACCTGGGCACGCACGGCGGCGGCGATGTTCACGCATGCACACTCACGATCGCGCGCCTGGCACCAACGACAGCGCGAGGCGGGCTATTTAAATCTGGAATCAGGTATGTCAGATTACCGTTTGGTCTCATTACCTTGTTCCTGATCCTGTGTTCCTGTGTATCTGTTGCTGACCTCTGCTTGTTCCTGATTAACCCCTGTCTTGCCTGACTACTCTTTTGCTTGACCCCTGGTACTGCGCTGCCCGCATCCTGTTGAACCTGGCTTGTGACCTGACCATCCTTCTGCTCGCTCCTTCTGTACCTCGCTGCTCGCACGATACAGACCCGGCCTGTCTGACCACGCATACCTCACCCGACCATCCATCCATCCCGCTCGGATCATACCAGTAGGTCTGTCTGCCTCTTCCAATCAGATTCCGTCCCTGCACTCCCCTGCCAGTACTCTCTACCACCGCCGGACGCACTCGGGGGTCGCGACCTGGTTGCAGTCTGCACCAAGTCCATCCCCACCATCAGGGGCCCTGGTGAACAGCAGGCTGGGACTTAGACCCCGCGCCCTGAGGAAATCCGTGCAGTGGGCTGCTAGAGACTCTGCCAGGCGGCACCTAACAACCTCACTCTACCATACATAGATCTAAGCTTATGGGAGGCCTAGGTCTCCCAGATTTTACCAAGTATTACCAAGCTATACATCTTGCACAACTGCCAAATTACCATGCGATGTGCGAAATCCCTCAATGGGTCACCCTTGAATCTGCCGATGGTGACTCACTCTCAGTCGCTAACCTTCTATGGATTAGACCTCCAGACCGTCGGGACGCTTTGTAATCCAATTACGTCTAAAATCCCACAATTCCCTTCAGTCGCCGCTTAACCCTGTACTCTCGTACCTTTGGAATCCAGCCTGGTCCTCTCCACACTCCTTCACACACTGGTCCTCGGCTAATCTGCTTTGCGCCCATCGCTTTCTGACCCATAGGGGTTTCAATCCTTCCCTCTGTGAGTCACACTCTATTCAGGCGTCAAAGGTTTTTAGATATCTCCAGTTGCAGCACTTTTACACCCCGCTTGCTATTCAATCTCATTCAGCCCATACCCTAACCCTTTTCGCTTGCTCTTGCTACAAGGACCCCCATAGACGTGGTCTTATCTCTGCACTCTATAACCTCCTTTCTACTCCTGAGTCTCTGCTAAACCCTACATATGTCGCTAAGTGGGAGAAAGATCTTGAGCCCTATGGATTGGGATCGCATTTGGTTGGCTACCAAATCCTGCTCACAGAATGTGGTAGCTGCGGAGACTAAATTACAAAGTATTCACCCAATGGTACTTAGGGGTATATTTAGCAATCCTCACCGGAACTAAGTATCCTCCTGGTTGTTTTCGGGGCTGTGCGATGGTAGGAACATACTTTCATATATGGTGGTCTTGCCGGTTGCCCAAGCTTTTTGGGCCAAAGTCTTTCGTATGCTGTCCTTGCTTTTTGCAAAGCCATTACTACCGGATCTGACCATAGCCTTGTTAAATCTTCAAACCCCTAATTCAAACTGCTCTTGCAAATCACTATGGCAGCCAAATTATGGCCAAATCATAGAAGTCCCTGTCTCTGTGTATATTAGCAGTTAAGAACAAGGCAACACAGGCAACGATTCATGCCAAAGTGGAAGCAACCATTGGGGACTCTGTCCCCAAGTTTCTGAAGATTTGGACCCCATGGGTGGAACGTTTTCTCCCACTGAATTTTGATGATTCGCAGCTCCTCCCTTAACATTCCCTGGCCACATCGTATGGTGGTTCTGTGGGCTAATCCATACATTAGCTAGATCCTGAGATTACCTTTTCTCTTCTGGAAGTCGCACATCCCCCCCTCCCCTCCCGATTCCCCCTCTTGGTCTCCTCTTTTCTCCCCTTCCTCTATTCTACCTGTACCTGCCTTTGCTTTCTATTTCCTTTGTCTTACATGGAACCTATGTTGGGAGCAGCTTTCCATATTTAGCTCATAACATTGTTTTATTTCCCCTCGCATTGTATTATACCCTATTGTTTCCTTATGGTTCCCAGATGCATGTTTTTGTGTGACATTCTCCTTCTTGCCTTGGGGCAACTCATGCCCCCTTTTTTTCCTGTACATACATTTGAATGTCCTGCATTTGTTACTGAACTAAAAAGTTTGAACATGAAAAATAAAGGGTTCTAGATATAGAAGCTGTTTTACCCTGCTTTGGGCCTTTCCTGAAGCAGAATGAGGAAACCTGAATTTCAGCAGTCAAATTCAGGTAACACCTGACAGCACGAACCACAGCAAAGGTATTAGGAGCCTTGTCCCCTGGTGTCTCAGGTTTAGGACAGAAGGATGGCAATACAATGACTGTCTAAGAGAAAAACGAAGAAACCTCTTTCAGGTAAAAATGATGGTTGAAGTCATAAAACCACACCATCAAAATGGAGAATAGAGAATGGTTCCGTACTGAAAAGTGCAGCCAATTCTGAAACTCTCCGTGCCAAAGTAATGGGAACTATAAAAATAACCTTCTGAGTTAGAGGAACCAAAGAATAATCCCAGAGGAGTTTAAACTGAGATTTTAGCAATATAAAAAGTACCAAGCTGAGGACCCATGCAGTCAACAGGTCTTTAACTGGTAGAATATACAAATCTATAAAAAAGTGTCAGCGCTCAATGATAGAAAATAGCTGCTAGCAAAAAGTGTTCACACACAAATGACAAAATATTAAATAGTCAACAACACCGTTCAGAAAAAAATGAAAATATATAAACAGTCCAATAATTTCAAATATTTAAAGCGGAGCTCCACCCAAAAGGGGAAAAAACCTTTTTGGGGCCACAAAAATAAAAAATCCTCTCTCATGTTGCATCTGGGGGGCATGAGGGTAACAAAAGTAGAGTACCAGCAGGACACTCTAGAGCACCTACTAATCCATGTCACAGGACATCCTAGGGGTTCCAATCTTCACCCATCATTGTGGGCAATGCCACTGGGGCCCTCGGGGACTCCACTTCCCCACTGGAGATCACTGCCCTGGACCTGCATAGTATCTACTGGTTTGCAAGGCAGTATATATGAATGTGCAGATCCAGTTCCACAGGTTCCAGGGCCAAGTGACAATGTTACAGGCCATCCCCACGTGAGTGGGTTTGGGTACCATTCCTCAGAGTATAGAAAAGATGTAGGAAAATGGATTAAGAAAAAGCTAGTCCTCTAATTCTAAACAGATCCGTGATACAAATGCCTGATGCTAAAAATCCCAGGAGACACAAACAGCTCTGGTGAAATAGGCTCTTATGGGAAAGGGATGAACCTTTTTTTCTTAAGGGTGTAGACCCTAGAAATGGGTTGTATGATCCACCTGGCAATTGTGGAGTGGGTGGTAGGGTATTCTCTACAAGATGCCCACAGACATTACAAATGGGGGCTCAATCTTACAAACAGAAGCTGTAGCTTTCACGTAGGGCAACTTTCTTGTCATGTTTTGGAGGCAGGACAGAAAGGAAGAACAAACATCCGCAATGAGGTGGAATGGGGAGACTACCTTATGCAAAGAATAAGATTAATCTGAAGGTAGCTGCATACAGCACATCCCACTCCAATGATTTAAAGAAGTCTGTGCCCTGTACTATACACTCAAAAAATATATATTTTTTCCATTTTGCATTGACATATGCTTTAACTTAATGCACACCTGGATTTTGCAGCTTCTAATAAAGAAATCCCAATACTGCATATGTATTTTAGGTAAATAGTCAGGAATCTTACTCTTTTTTTTTTATTCTAAGTCTGGTATCAATTCTCTCCAATTGGCCTCACATTTCTTACCAATATTAAGCTTGCCATTTCCTCGATGAAAGAAGTACTTCTAAATGTGCGAGCTTTATATCCGGTTTGTCCTATTCTACAACTTGAGAATATTTGGCACAACTGCTATGGGCCTATATGTCACAGGCAAGAAAGAACTGCTTAAAACTAAATATCTAGGCGTTCCTAGGTTTTTGGTGTCTTTGCACTTTTACCAGTTTAATGTGGTTGTCAGTTTTAGAATATAAGAATTACCCTTTGGAAAGCCTAGGGTTGTTTACAATTTTTCTCATTTTTCTGCCCTTCTATGCATGCGTTGTTAAAATGTTATAGGTTTTGATATGTGAATGCCTTAACTATAATTTGTAGGGGCCAAACAGTCAAAATAAAGCAAGTAATATTTTAATAAAACTGCTAAATTTTTTATTCCATGTAAAGGCTTCACTTTCAAATGAAAAGAGAATACTTCCCTGGAATAATAAAGTAAGGGCTGACAAAAGAGATACATAATTTATCAATGGAAATCAGCTTTTGTATGCCTCCAAATAGTACATTATTCTAGTCTGACTTACAGTTGGAATTGCTGTGGTGCAGCTCACTCTTCTGAGGCGTCTTTGCATCAGATCGTGCTCCATTCCATTCACTTCTGCCTTCAGCAACTCTAGCCCTTCTTTTTCATGTTTCAGTTCTTTTGCAAGTCTTTCCATTCTTGCCCGCTGGTGCAACAATAAGGCTTTGAACAACAACATATGTTTTTTAAAAGCCGGAATGGTTGTCCACATTTTACAGTATTTTGTTCAAAACTGTAATTAACAATTTATTTGAAAAACAGTATCCAGCACATAGATCCAGAATTGGTTTCTGTGTTACTATCTAAATACAAAAACAGGTAAAAGCCTCTTCTTTGAAATAGCATCCTAAAAGACAGACAATCTCAAGTTAAAAAAAAAAATTACACAGGTGTGTACTGCACTACCTACCAAAGATTGACCTTGCTTGTAGTATAAGATTCACTTTTATGCAAGCCAGGTGGAAAATATAGACCTCCTGCTTAAACCAAAATTTGATTCACTCCCCTAAGCCAACGTTATTAGCTTCCTGTAATACTAAAACTTATCTGGCACCCCTTTGTAAATGGCAGTTACAGTGGATATAAAAAGTCTACACACCACTGTTTCTGTAATGTAAAAAAATTAGACAAAGAAATAATTTCAGAACTTTTTCCACCTTTATTGTGACCTATAAAGTGTACAACTCAACTGAAAAACAAACCGAAATCTTTTAGGCTGGGGGAGTGAACATAAAAAAAGCTAAAATAATGTGGGTGCAGAGTGTGCACACCCTCTTATAACTGGGGATGTAGCTGTGTTCAGAATTAAGCAATCACATTCAAAATCATGTTTAAATGGCAGGGGTGTACTGACTCCTATTTTAGTTTAGCTTTTCTAGTAGGTCTTTCCTGACATTTTCTTAGCCGCATCCTACAGCAAAAGCCATAGTCAGCAGAGAGCTTCCAAAGAATCAGAGGGATCTCATTGTAAAAAAAGCTATCAGTCAGGAGAAGGGTACAAAAGAATGTCCAAGGCATTAGATATACCATGGAACACTGGGAAGACAGGCATCATCAAGTGGAGAAAATATGGTATAACAGTAACATTACCAAGAACTGGACGTCCCTCCAAAACTGAGGAAGACGAGAAAAAAAAGATGGCCTGGTAGGCTTCTAAGAAGTCTACATCAACATTAAAGGAACTGCAGGAATATCAGGCCGTGTGGTACATGTGACAACAATCTACTGTATTCTTCATATGTCTGGGCTATGGTGTAGAGTGGCAAGACGGAAGCCTTTTCTTACAAGGAAAAACATCCAAGCCTGGCTAAATTTAGCAAAAACACATTTGAAGTCTCCCAAAAGCATGTGGGAAAATGTGTTCTGGTGTGATGAAACCAAGGTTGAACTTTTTGGCCATAATTCCAAAAGATAGGTTTGGCGCAAAACCAATACTGCACATCACCAAAAGAACACTATACCCACAGTGATGCATGGTGGTGGCAGCATCATGGTTTGTGGCTGTTTTTCTTCACCTGGGACTGGGGCTTTAGTCATGGTAGAGGGCATTATGAACAGTACAAATACCAGTCAACATTGGCAAAAATCATTCAGGCTTCAGCTAGAAAAAGCTGAACATGAAGAGGAACTTCATCTTTCAGCATGACAACGACCCAAAGCATACATCCAAATCAACAAAGGAATGGAGTCACCCGAAGAAGATTAAAGTTTTGGAATGGTCCAGCCAGAGCCCAGACCTGAATCCTATTGAAAATCTGTGGGGTGATCTGAAGAGGGCTGTGCACAGGAGATGCCCTCGCAATCTAACAGATTTGGTGTGTTTTTGCAAGGAAGAGTGGGCAAATATTGCCAAGTCAAGATGTGCCATGCTGATAGACGCATACCAAAAAAGACTGAGAGCTGGAAAAAAATCAAAAGGCGCTTCAACAAAGTATTAGTTTAAGGGTGTGCACACGTATGCAACCATATTATTTTAGTTTTTTATTTTTACTTTCCTCCACCTAAAAGATTTCAGTTTGTTGTTCAACTTAGTTGTACAGTTTAAAGATTGCATTAAAAGGTGGAAAAAGTTCTGAAATGATTTGTCTAATTTTTTTACAGCACAGAAACAGGGGTTTGTAGACTTTTTATATCCACTGTTGGTGCAAGGCATACATTGTGGGATGGAAGTAGAAAGCATGAATCTTTCCCACCACCAAGAAGTAAAGAACAGGCAGTACTAGAGGGAAAATGTGAAGGAAAGTATGTTTTAACAATTGACGATAGTAGCTGACTGAACTTTTGGAATTGTAGATTCCAGCAGGAATGCAATTTCAGTATTCTATCTAACTCCCCCCCTTTGACCCCAACTGCTACTCAAAGGGTCAATGAACCCTACCAGACGTTACCCTGAAAGTATGTATGACTGCCTGGATATTTTGCCAAGAGCAATGCCAGAGAATTCAATGGGAAATGTTCCTTCAGAAATGACTTCAGTCAAACATTCATGCTCACAGCAGGACCCTGGCTCATGAGGTTTACAAAGCCTTCTGAGCAGCAGGTGGGGTGCAGATCTAACTGTACTTAGCTCAGCTAGATGCATGGAAAGTTTGGCTGCCTTCTCTAAAAGTCAGCTGCAAGAACTTTTCACTGTATTTGACAGCAAGGTCGGTATATTGAACCTGAAGAAAAAAAAAAGTGAAAGTGAAAAAAAGGCTTTGATTAAAGCAACCAAATTAGTTGATCTTTTTACTATGAGTGTCACTTTTGAACTACTTTTTATAAAGCCCCTGCTCAAGATGAAAGGGGACACTACCAAAACTTCCAATGAAGTCTGAGACAGGTTAAAATCTAAATTAAAGTGGTTGTAAACTCTTACATGTACCCAGTGTAGTGACTTTTCTCAGGTGATACAAAGAGGAAACAAAGCCTTCTACATAAGTTGTCCCTGATTATCTACAGCCTTCTCTTTTTTACATTCGTACAAAGTGCTAAAGTTATAAAGATTGTCTGAGAGTTCAGAAAAAGGGGGTGGGGAGCTAAATTAAACATAGTGCTTAGCGAGAGCTCTGAAACCTGATTGGAGGGAAGGGACACACCCCTCTCCACACAGCTCATAGAAACAGAGCTGAGCTATCAGTCAGCTGGAACTCCCTCCCCTGTCAACATTTTTCTCTCATGTCAGGAAAACTTGTCAGAAGTGATTCATGCTGACAGCAGAGGAACAAAGCAGCATACAGAAATTAAACTTCATGATCGAGAGAAGTACACACTATAGAGGGATATGCTTTGTTTATATTTCAAGACTGAGGTTTACAACCACTTTAAGTCTCATTTGCAACAGTCCATTTGTTTGTTTAATTTTAGATCCAGTAAAAAAAAATAACATAACTGAAAATGATAGATTATAAACATAGCAGGAAGAAGAGATTCCTGTTAAAAACAACTGCAACACTTTGAAATAATGAAATCTATTTCCCCTTACAAAATAGAAAGAGAAATACAAATAGAAGACAAAGGCATTAAACAGAACCCCCCCCCCCCCCCCCCCCCCCCACCTCCAAAAAAAAAAAAAAAAAAAAAAAAAAAAAAAAAAAAAAACAGGTTGCATTCCTTTTATAAACTGTGTTTAGTTTTCAGCTGCAATGACTGCCATCAAAGTACTACTAGATAGATGTCTGTGAGTCTCCGACAATCTGATTAAAACTATTTTAGCATCTCGAGAGAAGCTCTTGTTTGAAACTTGCTCGTGCTCATACAAATCTCTCTCTTCAAGCATCAGAGCTGCTGTCCAATATTCATCACAACACAAACAAATCTAGGTCTTTAGCAATACAATCAAAATACATACCTGTTATATCCACACGGATCTCTTTAGCACAAATGTCATTCATATTTATTTTGATTCTGCATACATGATAATGCATTAGTAGCATAATCCCACATGGATTATGGATTAAGGAAAGCACATACTTCTGACTCATTGGAAACATTACACAGCATAGACACACCACACAAGCACTATAGAAACATAACAAGTAGAGCTGCTTGTTGTGTCAAAAAGAATCTGAACTCTTAGATCAATGTGTATGACATTTTCAGAACTGAAATAGATTGTAGAAATGTTCTCCAGTGGCACAGTGATGTACATTTTGGGCCATTTGAGGAGTATAGATTGTAAAATGGCAATGGTGAAGTAAGCATATTTAACCATTTTCCATGCTTATGGTCTACCTCCATGAACCTATCTACTGGTATCAGTGGTTTTATATTATTATTGATAATGCTCATAAGATAAGACTTTATTAATAGTCATTTTCTCCATTCATGTTGCTCAGGTAAATAAGAAAATGGAAAAATGACTAGTTACTATGGACAATACAAAATACTTCTTGTAGGCAGTTGCCATAATTTGGTTTTACATTAAAAACAAGTAAAAGAACCAATTGACAGTATGGAGGCCTGCAGATCAAATCAAATAGTACAGCCCTTCCAGAAAATCATGCATGGGTAGAAGGAAAACAGCGGTGCTCCTCTAGGTCTTTAGGGAAAAAAAAACCCCCAAAAAACACAACAGTACCTTGGGTATATGCGTAGTCATCTGATCCAGAACTGGAACTTCGATGGTATTTGTGAACTCCCTTTTCAATTCCTGATGATGGCATCAATGAAATTGGCTGTATAGGTTCTGGAGCACCAGGATGCTGCTCTTGGTCCACAATATTTAGCAGATTTTCAGTAGGCGCCCGTGCAACAGTAATTTTGAAAACAGTTGGGTTAGATGGAGACATCAGTACACGAGGAGAAGGTGTGGGAGAGCCACAGGTGGTCGGTGGTTGTGAATAGGTTATATATAAGGGATTAACACCATATGGAGTCTTTGGCTGGCCTTGTATTGCCCTTGAAGGTGAACCTGGCCGTGCACTTGAGGCATATGGAGAATGCGTACTCCGCTGGGGGGGTTGATTACTTATTGGTGAAGGACTTCTATTCATTGCATTTCCTGGTCTTTGTTGTGATTCAACTGTAATTTCTATTTTGTTCATCCCAGGAGCCTTGTTCATGCCAGTTCCATAAGGAAGATAAGATACAGAATGGCCACTTTGCTTTGGATAGGGAGGTGGAGCTTGCGAATAGGGATGATGAGGAGAAACTGTTGGACTAGGGGGCATAAACACATGTGAAGTCTGGTGACTTAGCTGATTAGGCTGTACTTGATGCTGTGGAGAGCTATAAGGAGATGTGCACTGTGACGTAGGAGGGGAACGAAAAGCAGACTGTGGAATTTGAGGCTGCTTAGGTGAATACTGTGCAGGTTGGTAACTTTGAGGAAACACTGGAAGAGGGCAAGGACTATAGTTTGGGAGAGGAACTGGAGAGGACTGGGGCCATGGTGTGTTTTGTGGAGTTTGTCTTCCTGGAGAATTTTGCGAAGACTGTCTAATGTAAATAGAACTTGGAGACCCATAAGGATTGCTTTGCACTTGAGGAAGAATCTGTAAAGCTCTGGGCACATTGTGAGCAGAGGGTATATTTTGTGATACTGTTACAGTTATAGGATTTGCACTGTAGCGAGGTATGTGCATATAATTTGGCAGGGAAGCTTGCATAGCTGACGTATTGACACTTTGCTGCTGAATAGGCTGTGGGGGTGGAGTTGGCGAGTTTCGGTCATTCAAGAAAAATGGATTGTAATTTTGTGGCACAATTGCTGGGGCAGAATGAGGCTCTTGAACCAAACATATAAGCTTGCCAGAAGCGCGCTGAGGATCAATGTGCCCATCACTTGAGCTATGAACCAGTGGTCGACCATTCATTTGTGTTACATCACCATGGAAATTGGTGCCTGGGTGAATACCAAGATTGATGTGCAAAAGATTGTTTGTTCTAGTGTCTTCTGGATTGTGCCCCTCCATATAAAGGTATTTACAGCTCTCTTGTGTCAGGGCGTGGCAGCAGGCATCAATGTTGCTGTTATTCTTCATTAAAAAAAGAAAATAGGAATTAGAAAAAAAAACTCCAATAAAAAAAAAAAAAAAATGTCAAGCAAGTATATGTACATTTTGTGCCAATTAGAGGACTTCTGTAATAGGTGAAAAAAGGCCGCCATTAGTGACTCTCTCAAAATGCTAATTGCCTAGCAGGGTTTGGCTTCAATATTTTATGAAGCAGAAACCTGCAACATGCATGCACACACCAAAAGTCATACCACCTAATCTACATGATTGTTCTTGGTGGGTGACTGGGAAAGTACCAAAGCCAATATCAACATGGCAGCCAGAGATATAGTAAATTTCAAAACAACATGACGTTCTCAAGTTGCCTTTTCATAAAAGTTTAAATTAAGCTGCATCCATGCCTGCCAAAAGAAGAATTGCCTTATCAGGACATTGTATTCTGACAGCGGCTGCAGCCCCTAATCCTTAAAAAAAAAAAAAAAACAACTTTCCAATGTGTCCTTTCAGTGTCTATTAACCCTCTCGCTGCCACCGACATAAGGGACTCAGGTATACAAAACTGCTTGCAGCTGAACAGGTCAGCATCCCTTATGGCCATGTCAGTTTCAGCTGCAGTTTGTGTCCTCTCCTCTCTGCTGCAATCTGTCACCTTCTCCAATCCCTCCCTCCTCCCCCCCCCCCCCCACCCCCTTGCCCTCATTGTTAGCTTCTGCCTCTTTCACCTGTCACTATCCTCACCACTATGTCTGCCAACTGGACCAGATCCAAGTATGTTTGGATATGGAGGTACACATGGCCACATCTCCTACTTTCCCACAATGCAGTTGCCAATGCTTATGCATTGTCACATGGGGGGGTCCGTATCTCTGTGTAAGCTCTAACACAGCAGAGAAGCACTCTTCTTACCTTTCCTGCTTTAACTGCTTCCAGTCTGCCCTGTAGCAGGACTGCAAAAAATGACGTATATATACACAATGATTTTGCATTTCCGGGTAGATGGTGCGTGTGAGTCATGTGCGCGCCCTACCCATGTCGCCATTCGTGGCCTCGGCTGTCAATCACCGGGTCCCGGCTGGGGATTGCCGAGTATCTTGCATCTCTGGGGGGGGAATGGGGAGAACTGTTTGTAAACCAAACAGTTCTCTCCTGTCAGCTCCTACTCACTGCTTTGCATGGCAGTGAAGCACAAACACAGCCCAGTATGTAAAACGGCACACAGTTAACCCTTTGATCACCCTACATATTAATCCCTGCCAGCCCAGTGCCATTAGTACAGTGTCAGTGTTTATTAGCACTGATTGTTGTACTGGTGTCACTGGGGATGTCACAGTGTTTTACTGTGCTTTACTATGCAGCAATACAAAGCAATGTGCAGGAGCTGACAGGGGAGAGATCTATTTTGTTTACATACAGGTCTCTCCCCAGTCAGTGATACACGGTGATCGCTGGGTGCTGGCGGGGATTCAACGGCCGGGACCCGGTGATCGACAGGTGAGGCCACCAATAGCAGTGCGATTATGGCTTGCGTGCACCCCCTACTTGGTAATTAAAAATTACGTATATATACACACGTGATTTTGCGCAGCCCTGCCACCCTGTAGCAGTATTTCTGCTATAGGGCAGCAGGAAAGCGGTTAACACAAACATGTTCCCTGAAGTGGTAAAGAACAGGTTCACTTTAATTATTTCTTTAATATTGGAACTGATAACATGTAGTGTAGGAATAGTAATTAGTGACACAAGATTCACTTTACGCCAGATTGGAATAGAACTATGACATAAATGTTATACTATGTAGCATCACCCTGAATTAGACTCTTAAGTGGAATGACACTAGTATGCTGCACAGCAGAACAAGTGTGATATTACACTGACTGATGTTTTCTCCATATTCGTATATAAAAATCCTGAAGAGCAAACACAGCACTTGGCAATGAATCAATACATACCTGCAAGTAAAAGAGAGAGCCTCATGTAACGCAAGTGTCTGCAAAGAAACTGCATGTGCTGCCTTCATCAAATAATTTCCAACTGTCATTTTACAAGTACAACTTACAATAGTAAAATCATACGATTTCTACAGGCAACACAGGCACTTTCCTTTAATAAACATGAGATACTTGACGTCCACAGCAATTATTCAAAGAAAAAATCCCATTGTGCAGATGAATTTTAAGATGTTGGATAATTGAGATGCCTAAGTTACATCAATATGCTGTATTTTATTTTGCACAAGACATCGAATATAAAGTAAGAAAGGGGAGTGCATTTCATTACAATATATGTTGGAGTTGATATACATGTTTTGAATATTATGATCAGTCAGGGTCAGGAAAAAAAAAACAAAAAAAAAAAAGAAAAAAAAAACAAAAATATATCTACTAAAAAAAAAAGCCGACATTTACCATTTGCAGTCAGCACTCTAGAGGCTGCTGACTATTCTTATTTAACTTCTATGTGTAAAATTGGCTAATCCAAGGTCAATAAAACCAATCTGCTACTGGTTTTATTGACCTTGGACTGTACAATGTGTTTTTTGAGCATCAGCCTACTGTATTTTTGCGATTACAATTATCAAATATTTGTGCATTAATATTTGTTATAATTGCATTATAGACTGGATATACCCACCTCTCTCCCTGAAGAAGGAAATAACATTTCTGAAACGAGTTGGACCTTTCTCTATGGATCACCAATACTGACCAAGCTACAACTTCACTGGCAGTTCTATTTCAGTATATCTCAGATCATTAGGGTATCTGTATTCCTATATTATTAATATTATTATTACATCGAGTTTATATAGCGCCAAAGGGTTTGCTCAGCGCTGTACAATAGGGGGGACAATACATGGAACAGTACAACAAAAACAGACAGCGTACGAGGGCCCTACTCTTTCAAGCGTACAATCTAGGAGGGAGGGGGTAGTGGAACAATAGGAAGTGGCTGAGGGGGATGAAGTGGTGGGAGGAATGAGGGAGAATGGCCGTTAGGTGAGGGTGGGGTAGGCTTCCCTGAAGAGATGGGTTTTGAGGGAGCGTCTGAATGTGGGGAGGGAAGGCGACAGTCTGATGGATTGGGGCAGTGAGTTCCAGAGGATAGGGGAGGACCTGGAGAAGTCCTGCAGTCGTGCATGGGAGGAGGAGACCAGGGAGCAGGATAGAAGGAGGTCCTGTGAGGAGCGAAGGATACGGGTAGGGTGGTACTTGGGGATCAGGTTGGTGAGGTAGTCAGGGGCAGTGTTATGAACGGCTTTGTAGGTCAGGATTAGAAGTTTAAATTTGATGCGTTGGGCAATCGGGAGCCAGTGGAGGGAGAGGCAGAGGGGGGTGGCAGAGGTGGAGCGGGTGGTGAGGTGGATGAGTCTGGCCGCTGAGTACAGGATGGTCTGGAGCGGGGAGAGCCTGCACTTGGGTAGGCCAGTGAGAAGAGAGTTGCAATAGTCAAGGCGTGAGATGATGAGGGAGTGTACAAGAAGTTTGGTGGTGTCTGGGGTGAGGAAGGCACGTATCTTGGCAATATTGCGGAGATGGAGCCTGCAGGTGTTTGTAAGTGATTTGACATGAGGCAGGAAGGAGAGGTTCGAGTCAAGAATGACGCCAAGGACTTTGGCTTGCGGGGCGGGAATGATAGTGGTGTTGGTGGTGGTGTGGTGATGGATAGGGGGGGGGGGGGGGGGGGTGGGCAGGGGGAAAGAAGACACCAAAGACGAGGAGTTCAGTTTTGGAGAGGTTAAGCTTGAGGAAATGGAGCGACATCCAGTCTGAGATGTCGTTTAGGAGGTGAGTGATGCAGGCGGAGATAGTGGGGGTGAGGAGAGGTGAATTTGGGTGTAGTCAGCATAGAGGTGATAATTAAAGCCATGGGAGTGTATGAGTGTGCCCAGGGAGGAGGTGTAGATGGAGAAGAGAAGGGGTCCAAGGACAGAGCCTTGAGGGACCCCAACAGAGAGGGGGAGGGAGGGGGAGGTGGCGCCATTGTAGGTGACGCTGAAGGAGCGTCGGGATAGGTAAGATGAGAACCAGGAGAGAGCGGTATCTCTGATGCCAAGGGAGAGTAGTTTATTAAGGAGGAGGGGGTGGTCGACTGTGTCAAAGGCCGCAGAGAGGTCCAGGAGAAGGAGGACAGAGAAGTCGCCCTTGGCTTTGGCATTTAGTAGGTCGTTAGTGATTTTGAGGAGGGCAGTTTCGGTGGAGTGTAGGGGACAGAAGCCGGATTTTAATGGGTCAAGGAGGTTATTGTCAATAAGGTGGGCGCTTAGGCGATCGTAGACTATGCGCTCAAGGAGCTTGGAGGCGAGTGGCAGCACGGAGATGGGTATGAGGTTGTTGGGGTCTGCGGGATCCCTATATTGTATTATGTTCAATTTTTATGTAATTTAAGTATGGTACTACAATTTTGACCTATTGGTCATTTTACTATGTTTATAATAAAGACTGGCTTTTGTTTTTTTAAGATATCTGTAAGTTTGATTCCATCTAAAAAGTACCGTGGGGGTTCTTTTTTTTTTGTTTGTCACATTTAGATTCGGTTTTTGAACACTTCACTCTGCATTAATTTTTTATAGAATATACGCAAAATATCACTTTATGGACATCTGAAAAATTATTGAACAAAAATCATTATAGCTCTTCTTTAAATGCAGGAAAGGTGACACTATAATTTTACAGGATTTTTTACTGACAGCATTACATCTTTTGTGGCTAGATGGTTACGACATTTTCATAACACCTGAGTAGGTAGAAGATGAGAAACCAAATTTATATTGATCCTAGTCTACAATGTTTCAGGATGCTTTTTACTTTGAGAGAATTAAAAAAAATTCACACACATAGCTGACCTGGAAAAAAAAAATTAGGACAGCTGCGGAATCTGTATTCATAAGAATCAAGAAAAACAAGCAAGCAATTTAAAGTACAGAGAAACACATTTCATGCTTTATTGAGGATTAATTTGTGTGAATAATATATTAGCAGTTCTATCATTATTCTAATATTGCATATGAAAATATAATTCCACACATGCTGTTACATCATTTTCAACTACTACAATAATGCCATACAATGATTTTGTTTTTTGAAGCAGATATTATTTTGTTTCGCTAGCAAGTAGGAAAAGGGGCTAAAGTTTGTTAGGTAAAGCAAACCACACGCATAATTAGTTTGTCACTCTAGCACATACCTGCATCATGCACTGAGATACCACTTCCAGTGGAATCTCAGGGAAGCGTTGTTGAAGATCATTTAATACCTGGATGTCAAGCTGTTGAGTGCTTTGCGCCATCTCCACATGGATGCAGGACTACGTTGTAATAGGAGGGGACTCACAACGCCCGCCAGTGGTTGTGATCTTCTGATCCTTCCTGCATTTTCTGCATAAAACACATTAAACATTCATTAGCCAAAGTAATGCAATTCTGAGTATATATTTAGTAATATATTAAAAAACCTACTGAAAACGATGGGAACAGGGATTAACTACTCCACTCAGCCAGAAGCTGTGTAGAAATATATACAGTAAATCAAAAAATTATCTCCTCCCTCCCCTAATGCTTGTAGCTATAAATATTTTTCTCATTCAATAATTTTATTGAATTAATAAAGTAACAAAGATATCAACGTTAACATGACGTTCACAGCAATATGTGGAATTCACACTCACTGAAAACACAGACGATGTAGTGAGATAAATAGAGCAAAATTGAAGTGCTATATTGTAGAAATTGACAGGTAGCTATAATATTTTTACTGGGTTTTTTTACCATTTGTCTTAAGTTTTTTTTGTTTTGCTTGCTCATTTTTGTAAAATCGCATGGAAGCGAAAAAAACAATAAAAAAAAAAAAAAGACTTTTATTAGTAAATACAAAGGGCATTTGAGTCAAACCAGGACTTTTGAGTTTATATAATAAAACAAAAAATTTCAAGGAGAGGAAACTGCATTTATTTTTCAACATTCTCCCCTGGTACATTTACAAGCTTTGGCATAGAAAGATTTGTCAGTACACCTGAACCATCCTAGGACAGGCTGCTTCACTTTTTCATCATTGTGTTCACCGTTCCCACAGAAATAAAGACAAGTCTCAATTTCACGACAGGTTATGCATTGATTATCCAGGATCAGGCGTTCCACACACTGAATGTTCACAGGAATGACTGCTGTGGGCTGGGAACCACCACAGGATCATCAATGACAGACGTCATACAGGCTTGGAAAAATCCGTATGTAAATGGATAGAAAACTGGCTAAAAGATTTTATTCAGAGAGTAGTGGTTATGATTAATACTCTGAATGGTCTAGGGTTGTCAGTGGTGTACCTCAAGGTTCAGTGTTGGGATCCTTACTTTTTAATATATTTTTAAATGATATAGGGTCTGGGATTATAAATACCATTTCAGTCTTTCCAGGTGACACCAAGCTTACAGGATGTCTCCAACTTTCAAGCTGAACTCAATGCACTGTTTAATTGAGCAACTATGTGGCAAATGAGGTTTAATGTTGATAAATGTAAAGTTATGCACTTGGGGGCTAAGAATATACAGGCACCATACATACTGGGGGGGGGGGGGGGGGTACAACAACTGGGGCAATCAATAGTGGAGAACAGGGGCGGACTGACAACTCATGGGGCCCCCGGGCAATAGGGGATCATGGGGCCCCTGTGTCCTTGCCCAAACTCAAAAAAGCCTATGAAAAAGGTACCAGGGGCATCTCATGGGGCCCCCTGCTGACCTTGGGCCCTCGGACAGTGCCCGAGTTTCCAAATGGTCAGTCTGCCCCTGGTGGAGAAGGATCTGGGAGTTCTGGTAGATCACAAGCTTAATAATGGCATGCAATGCCAAGCTGCAGTTTCTAAAGAGGTATAGACTCCAGAGAGAGAGATATCATCTAGAAAAACCTCACCTAGAATATGCAGTTCAGTTTTGGGCACCAATTCACAGAAAGAACATTGGGGAACTGTGAAAGTACAGAGAAGGGCAACCAAACTGATAAGAGGCATGGAGGAGTTCAGCTATGAGGAAAGATTAGAGGAACTGAATTAATTCTCTCTTGAGAAGAGGCGATACGGGGGATACGATCAACACGTATAAATACATCAGTGGTTCATATAGTGAACCTGGTGTAGAGTTATTACCCTGAGGTCATCACAGAGGACAAGGGGGCATTATTTACGTCTGGAGGAAAAGACATTTAATTTCAAAACACAGAAAGGTTTCTTCACAGTGAGTGTGAAAATGTGGAATAGACTCCCTCAAGAGTTGGTTCTGGCCAGCTCAGTGGATTGCTTTAACCATTTCAATACCGTGCAATTTTACACCTTCCTGCCCAGGCCATTTTTCAGGTTTCAGCGCTCTCACACTCTGAATGACATTGCGCGGTCATACAACATTGTACCCAAACTAAAATTTTATCATTTTCTTCACACAACTAGAGCTTTCTTTTGGTGGTATTTAACTACCTGCCGACCGCAGATAGCCGAATGACGGCTGCACTGCGGCCGGCCAGTTCTGGGTGGACGTCATATGACGTCCTCCCAGAACGCGCTCTCCTGCGCGCCCCAGGGGGCGCGCACCCGGCGATCTCCGTGATGTGGTAAAAGGCCATCAAAAGGCGATCTCCTACGGACACAGCTGATCACGTGATGTGGTAAAAGGCCAATCACAGCGGCCTTTTACCACCTGATCAGCGGTGTCCAATGACACGCTGATCAGAGGGAAATGCAAGTGCCGGTTCTCGGCTGCACTTTCCTCACGCTGTCAGATCGTGAGGAAAGTACTGCCGAGAACCGGCAGTTGTCAGAGCGGGGATCGGCACTGATGATCAATGCCCTGATGATCGGTGCCCAGCAGTGCCACCCGCAAGCTCCGCCCACCTGTGCCCAGCAGTGCGCCCGCTAGCTCCGCCCACCTGTGCCCAGCAGATCACCCACCTGTGCCCAGCAGTGCACCCACCTGTGTCCAGCAGTGCACCCACCTGTGCCACTCTGCAGTGTCACACACCTGTGCCCAGAAGCGCCACCCACCTGTGCCCAGCAGTGCCACCCACCTGTGCCCACCCACATGTGCCACCCACCAGTGCCCAGGGGTTGTGCCAGTCAGTGCAGCCAGTCAGTGCCCAGCAGTGATGCCAGTCAGTGCCGTCTATCAGTACCCATCATCAGTGTCACCTATCAGTGCTGCATATTAGTGCCGCCTATCTGTGACACCTCATTAGTACTGCCTATCAGTGCCCTTTAGTGCCGCCTATCAGTGCCCATCAGTGCTGCCTCATCAACGCACATCAGTGAAGGAGAAAAATTACCTGTTTGAAAAATTTTATAATAGAAACAAAGAAACTTTTTTTTTTTCAAATTTTTTGCACTTTTTGTATTTATAACGCAAAAAAGTAAAGTGCCCAGTGGCGATTAAATACCACCAAAAGAAAGCTCTATTTGTGAGAAAAAAATGATCAAAATTTCATATGGGTACAATGTTGCATGATCGCGCAATTGTCAATCAAAGTGCGGCAGTGCTGAAAGCTGAAAATTGGCCTGGTAAGGAAGGGGGTATAAGTGCCTGGTAGGCAAGTGGTTAATCACTGCTGGGGTTTTTTTTTTGCTAAATTAACAAAAAAAAAACAAAATTTTGAAAAACAAACACGTTTTTCTTTGTTTCTGTTATAAACGTTTACAAATAATTAATTGTTCTTCATAAATTTAGGCCAAGATGTATTCGCTACATGTCTTTGGTGAAAATAACCCAAATTAGGATGTATTATTTAGTTTGTAGGAAAGTTATAGAGTTCACAAACTATTGTATATATCTGAAAATTGATCAGTCCTGAAGTACTGACAGCCAATCTAATTTCTTGAGGTCCAAGAATGTCAGATATCCCCCAAATGACCCCTTTTTGCAGAGTAGACAGTCCGACATACTTCATAAGAGGAATGGCGAGTTTTTTGAAGTTGTATATTTTTTGTCATAATTTTTCGGAAAATGAAAAAATTAAAAAAATGTTCACTAGTGCAGTACAGCGTCATCATATAACTGGCATGGCGGTGAACAGGGACACTGACTGGTGACAGTATGAAAAAAAAAAAAATATATATATATACCGTATTTGCCGGCGTATAAGACGACTGGGCGTATAAGACGACCCCCCTACTTTTCCTGCTAAAATGTAGTGTTTGGGCTATACTCGCCGTATAAGACTACCCCTCTTCCAATGCACACCAGTGGGAGGAATAGTGCCCCATCATTGATGTCAGTGGGAGGAATAGTGCCCCATCATTGATATCAGTGGGGGGAATAGTGCCCCATCATTGATATCAGTGGGAGGAATAGTGCCCCATCATTGGTATCAGTGGGAGGAGTAGTGCCCCATCATTGGTGTCAGTGGGAGGAATAGTGCCCCATCATTGATGTCAGTGGGAGGAATAGTGCCCCATCATTGGTATCAGTGGGGGGAATAGGTGCCCCTTCATTGGTATCAGTGGCAGGAATGGTGCCCCATCATTGGCATCAGTGGGAGGAATAGTGCCCCATCATTGGTATCAGTGGGGGGAATAGGTGCCCCATCATTGGTATCAGTGGCAGGAATAGTGCCCCATCATTGGTGTCAGTGGGAGGAATGGTGTCCCATCATTGGTGTCAGTGAGGGGTGGAATAGTGCCCCATCATTGGTGTCAGTGGGGGGTGGAATAGTGCCCCATCGTTGGTGTCAGTGGGGGGGGGGGAATAGTGCCCCATCGTTGGTGTCAGTGGGGGGGGGGAATAGTGCCCCATCGTTGGTGTCAGTGGGGGGGGGGAATAGTGCCCCATCGTTGGTGTCAGTGGGAGGAATAGTGCCCCATCGTTGGTATCAGTGGGAGGAATAGTGCCCCATCATTGGTATCAGTGACACCAATGATGGGGCACTATTCCTCCCACTGACACTTGCTGACCCTGTTCTAGTACGGTGCTGCTGCTGCCAGCATATGTGGTTGCAGCAGCACCTCTACACAGAGCACTTACCTGCTGCTCCGGCACTCAATTTTCGCGGGGGCCGCTCGGCTCCGCCCCCTCGCCGGTGATTGGCCGCCTGTGTGCCTTTCCCGAGCTACAGTTCTGGCGGCCAATCACCGGTGAGGAGGCGGAGCCGCGCAGCCGCACGAACATCCAGTGGCCGAACTGAAGGAGACGCCGCGCTTCCTGGACCGGATCGCCGTGGGACTGGATCCAGGTAAGAGACGTCAGCCCCTGCAAACCCCTGTACTTAATGCCGCAGCCCCCCTAACATGTGTACCGGCGTATAAGACGACCCCCGACTTTTGAGAAGATTTTCAAGGGTCAAAAAGTCGTCTTATACGCCGGCAAATACGGTATATATTTTTTTTTTTATTTTTAATTTATTACTTTTTTTTAAATTTTTTTAAGATTTTTTTCATATTTTACTATGACCAAAGTAGTACAGTGTTACCATAGTAACATTGTACTACTTTGGGGAAGTGATCAGTATTTTTTTTTTTTTTTTTTTTTTTTTACACAATTTGCTTATAGCAAAGAATTACTTTGCTATAAGCAAGCATTTACCTGAATGACAGATTCATTCAGGTGATTTGGCCACAGCTAATCACATGACATGTGCATGTGACCTGCTGTGACCATTCACAGCTAGGCACTAGTATACAATGTATAAAACGACCATGCAGCGCTAATGCATAAAGTGATGTATACACAAAACCCTTTGGTGCAGGTGATAAAGTAAAACACCACTTAATAATAGAAAGGATCTTTAAGAATTAATCTAAAAAGTCCAAAAATACTAATGATGGTGAAAATCTTATAACAAGAGTGCTCTTGCGGTGCACAACACATAAACGTTTTTAGGACAAAAGGTGACACAATATGTGACTTCTGTGACCATATTCCTCCCGCAGAAAATGAGTGTAGATTGCACTAACCAGAGAGCGCAATTTTTATGCGCCTTTGAGTGTTAACCAACTCCTGGTCATCCGGCTACTGCAAACTGGAACTGGATCACATCCTTCCCAAACATACAGGGAAGGATCTCATAGCTTCCTGAAGGTGAGCAGAACTCAGACAAACTCCAACAGCACCAGATCATCATGAGCAGACCTGACTAATCAATCACAGCACTCTGTTACTCAGAATACCACACTGAATCTACCTGACAGCCTCTCTGAACATAATGTTAGCATCTTTATACAGGTGCTGGATATGGAAGATTTTCACCATCATTAGTATTTTTGGACTTTTTAGATTAATTCTTAAAGATCCTTTCTATTATTAAGTGGTGTTTTACTTTATCACCTGCACCAAAGGGTTTTGTGTATACATCACTTTATGCATTAGCGCTGCATGGTCGTTTTATATATTACTTTTGAGGCTCCTGGTATTTGCCTTTCATGCTAGCCGCTCTCTGATTGATTATCCAGCGCTCGTATTGTTTCTATTTTTACTAGTATACAATGGATGGCATGAATGAAGCCATCCATTGTATACAACTGTCATGTAACCTTCTGTGATTGGTCACAGCAGGTCACAGGGTACCGGCAACGGGGGGCTGGTACTCAGATCTGTCACCGGCCGTGTACCTCGCTGCGCGGCTCTGCAACCGCGCGAACTGCGCATGTGCGGGAGGACGCCAAATGGTGTACACCCCGGAAAGCTACAGCATTTTTGCAGCCCCCAAACGGCTATATGCCGGGCGGCTAATGGTTAAAAAAGGCCTGGATTATTTATTGGATACACAGAAGATAACTGGATACTATCATTTATATGTAAAGTTGATCCACGGAATATCCAACTGCTTCTTGGGGGATCAGGAAGGAATTTTTTCCCTTGCAGAAGCAAATTGGATCATGCTTTGCTGTGTTTTTTTTTTTTTTCCTTCCTCTGGATCAACTGTGGGTATAGGATTATAACTTTTTTTTTTTTAATGGCTGAACTGGATGGACTTTTGTCTTTTTTGGCCAGACTAACTATGTGACTATGACGGGGGTACACCCCAACAGCTTGTCCTGAAAACTTGGATGTTAGTTCAAATAAAAAACAAAAAAGTATCATGAACAGTACTAATTGTTTTTGTTGCAAATGCACTAAAATGACTACAATCACCTCTACAAAAAGGGAGTAACGTACCCAAGTAAAAAAAACTGAAATACTGTACTCTTTGTATGCATTTCAAGGTCATGTATGTTTAACTGGTTCCCGCCTGGCCTATTGTACAAGGACTACCCAGTACTATGATCGGTGATGCACTGTGTTCCTCACATCACCAAACAGAGTAAAGGGCCAATGACTTTGGCTCTTTACCATGTGATCAGCTGTGTCTAATCACATGTAAACAAATGCCTGTTATAGCCATTTCCTTTCCTCAGTGCTGTCACTGTCTGAGAAAAGAAAAGCCCATAACCGGCTTTCCTGTCACAGGAGATATTTACTATAATTATCAGAGCAGCCTATCAGTGCCCATCAGTGAAGAAGAAAAATTTACTTATTTACAAAATTTTATAACAGAAACGAAGAAAAAGGGTTTTCAAAATTTTTGGTCTCGTTTTGTTTTAGCAAAAAATAAAATAAAACAAAAAAAACACAGGGGTGATTAAATACCACCAAAGAAAAGCACTGTCTGTGTCAAAAAAATTAAAAAAAGTTTCACTTTGATAAAAAGTGCAAAAACACTGAAAGCTGAAAATTGGCCTGGGCATGAAGTGGTTAAAATGAGCAAAAAACATTCAAGAAAACAATCTTAAACTTACATAAAATAGTAGGTCTTTACTCAGTTTTCAGATTACCAATAAATTATAAACTTCCTTAAGCAACAGTGATTATCAATAACAGGAAAATGCTAGGTCTATTATTTTTGTTACCTTAATTTGATGGTTTATGCATCATACCAAATTCTTTAAAACAGCACTTGCAGGGTCCGCATACCTGGCAGTCCCCAATCCCTATATAAACTCTTAAAATTACAACAAAAGCAAATCGCTTAACTGTTTAAGAAAGATATGTTGGTTGGTTACTATATTGACATCACTTTGTCCTTTTAAGCTCTGTATTTCCTCTATGAGCATCTTATATGTCACAAGGCTTTTTACAGTGTGATGGAATGCGTCTTCCCTATGACTAAGAAATCTCAAGTAACACATTCCTTTATCTACAAATAGCGATTGGCACCACTTTAAATAAAGCACTGAAGGGAGAAGAAAAGTGATAAAGAATATACAGCAAAAGACATAATTGAGAATATTTGAGATTTGTAGATTTAGCAGTATATTTTGAATGGAAGATATA